TTGGTTGGAATTGCTGTTTAAGTTCATCTTTAACATTTGCGAAAACTGGATCGAATAAAGCAACTTTAAAGAATTTCTTAGCTGAAATTTCAGGTCTAATATTTGCATATTGACCATCAAACTGGTTAGAATATCGTGGTAATCCATCCGGTCCCTCTTCAATAGCATTTAATTCTTCATTGAAATAAGAATATGGATTACGACGGTATGAATTAATTGGACCATTTTCACCTTCTCCAATGTATTGTTTAACAGCTTTTCCATTTTCATCAAATTGCATAGGATAACGTTCATTATATACTTTACGTTTAGGATAAATCAGATATAGTTAATTTATAACCATTTATGACTTTAATATTACCTTGACCATCAGTAACGAAAACTTCATTTATACCATCAGGTTTTCCATTTGGACCCGTAATGTCTGCTTCGTGTGCTTCCAATTTGGACCATGACGTTTGGCATATGCTTGAGCTTCTGGTAATGTTAAAACGTTTCTCATTTGTTTAACATCTTTTTGAAGACCAGCAACAATATGAACTAATTCTTTCATTCCATCAGGAACTTTCATAGTTCTATTATATGTACCCTTTTTGTTTGTCCCTTGTTTAATGGAACCTGTAGAAGATTTGCTATTTCTTGTCATGTTTAATTATAAATAAAAAATAAAAATTAATTATAAAAAGTTAATCAAATTTAACACTTCCTTTATTTAAATCAACTATTATTTTTCATGTTCACCTAATTGCTGATATTGTGTGTAAAGTTCATTAATGCTCATTGGTAAATTCACTTGATAAAGCATAACGTTCAACTGTTGACGACTAAACCCACTGAAAATGAAAAGGGTTGATAGATTTGATTTAATGTTTGTGCTTAATGCTTTGAAATATTGAACAGCCATGAAGAATGAACACTGAATGTGTCGACATTGAGTTAATAACTGATTAAATATGATTTCTCATTTGTTATTAGTTTTGATTTCACTGCATCATCTAGAAAAATGAGTGAATGCAAAAATTCTCTATCAAAATTTGAAATAGAAAGTGTTTCAAATAATTCATCCGTTGTTTATCAATAATTTTATCCTCTAATCCTTGCTTCTTGATTGTATTATATAATTCTTTATACAGTAAAACGTTTTTTAAATAATCTTCTGCTTCTTCTTGTGATAAATAAATAATTGGAATTTTGATTAAATGCTTTAAAGATTCAAATGTATCATCTGAAGGTGAACCTGAACGGTTGATATAAATTAACACATGTGAATAGGGGGAAGTGTTAGCAATAATGATAATTTTGTTTTAATATCGTTAATGTTTTACCTTTATTTTGTTTACCAATTGCTGCAGTGATTGAATTTAAGTAACATTCAGAATATGGAATTTTCATTAATTTTTCCTTAGATAGAGCATTTCTATTATCACTCAATGCTTCATTAATCATATCATCTACGTATGTATTATATACTCCCGCTAATTCTTCATAAGGGGTGGATGAATTTAAATCCATTTAATCAAAAATAAATTTATAATTTTAAACATTTCTATTCATCAATATTTCATCATATGAACTTCTATACTGTGGTGGTGTACCTGTTGGATGATATTTCAAACCTTCGTCGGTGTCCATGTCCAATACGTAGTCTAGTAAACCAAACCTGAGGAGGATTTCACCTTTGAACAGTAAGTGTCATTTTCACCCTGAATGATTGGATAAGCTTTCACTTGTACTGTAACTTGTGAATTGAAAGTTTCTAATCCATCAAAGAATATATACCCGCTCCATCACGTTGAACTGGAATAGTGCATAAGAATGAAGTTTGGTCTTTCCATGTTCTAGCTAATGGCGTGCCATTATCATCATTCAGTGGTCTAGTTAATGAGTCCTCGTATTCTTCTGTGCATTCATTCACTCCATCTAAATCAGAAGCTTGAAGCATACGTGTAAAGAATATGTCACCCACTGTGGTCATCGCTTGATCGGGGAAGTTTCTGGAATCTATAGTGACCTGAAGACCTCGAAGCATTGGATTTTCTAAAACCGTTCTTTGCATTGCATTCTTCGGAAATGTTAACACAACATCTGTAACATTATGAAGAGCGTATGAGAAATCTGAGCTAATACCTTCAGGAGTGATGCAACCTCCATTTAGTGAACGAACGTCAATATGTTGAGCTGGAATCATGAATGGATCTTCCTTACTGAATAAACGTGGTATTGCTTTAACTGATTCTTCAATTAAACCGTATCCTGGTGTAATGCATTTATCCTCTAAAACTTCCATCTTTGTGCATGAAATAATAACGTCATCAACTGTTGCGTCAGCAGATGTAGCGGCTAAGCTTGTAATTAATTTGGCAGGAAGTCCGATTTGTTGGAATTTGCGATCATATTTATAAACATGATTCATAATCTTTTCATAATTTTCATCAGTTATCTTTTCATAAACATAATTTTGTAAATCAGCAACTCTTAACGGGTCAACCTGACAAAATACTAAAGTATCCCTGAAAACATAATATTTAAGAATGATTTCACCAAATGATTTAGGATAATCATCGAACGCCTGAAATGCTAACAAATCATTTACTGGAATAATCATATCAAAAGTGATATCAACTTCTTCATTTGCGTTCTTGAAAACTTCTGAAGGGTCAATATATTTACCACATATTGAGTTATCATATTTTTGAACATTATTATATAACGAATGAACAAACTTTTTAACTTTCCTTTCTGATTTTGGTTTATATGTTGCAAATGCGAAAGATTCACGGGCGCAATCCATCTGAAGATAACCGGCATCACCTCTTTCAGTTTCTACTTCTAATTGTTTAAAGCTTTGATTTGATGATTTGTAACCAACGAATAAACGCATGCATTTAAAAGTGGCATCACATGTGAAAGCTTTATTTGAAACTAGAGTTGCTTTAACTTTGCGTTTAATATATGTGTCACCTAATTGATTCACATCATGAGCCGGATTTGTAATTCTTAAATGAGTTTGTTTATCATCAAAATATGGAGCATCAGAGTCATAGCATGAACTTTCAAGTTCTCTATAATATCTTCTACCGTCATTCTTTGCGAATATTTCATTTATCTTTTCGAATGAATGAAACACATTTCCATTAATCGGTTTAGTGTTTGGCACTAAATAGTTAGTCGTCATTTATTATTAAATAAAAATCAAAATTAAAAGATGAAAATGAATTTTTAATTTTAATGAAATAATCAACTATGGCTGCAGGTATATTTAAGAAACTGTGGATAAAGTAAAAAGAGGAGCGAGTAAAGTTTGGGAAACATTGAAGAAGGGAGCAAATTGGATATTTAAGAATAAAGAAGCAATTAGTGACGTTGCTGAATCAATAACGCCAAAAGCTGCCCCAATAAGAGAAATATTAAATAAAGGAGAAAAAGTTTATCAAAGACTACAACCGATACTAAGATAAAAATAATATTTATTTATTTTTCCACTATCTACCTCCTATTTTATTAAGTATTCCTTCAGCAATTCCACCAATTGCGTTACCTGCTTGTGCTCCCATTGCCGGATTACCTGCTTTAGTACCTAATACTCCACCTATGATAGTTCCTGCCGTTTTCGCTACTGGTGCCAAAAAGTTTGCAACGGGTTTAATAATCTTTTTATAAACCCAACCCGCAGCTTTCTTAATTCCATCCCATAATTTTTTAAAGAATCCTGCCGCCATTTCTGATTTAATATTAATTAAAAAATATATTTCATCACTTATATTCTAATTTTTATTTAATGATAAATGAAACCGATTTTAAAAATAAATGAAACAGAGGAGGAAGAAATAAATGAAAGTGAAAATGTTCAACAAAAAATAAACGTTGTTAAACCAATTACTGAAATAAAAATTTTTTCATCTGTTGAAGAATTTAATGACTATTATGCTAACAATAAAAAATTATTTGAAGAATTGACAACATGTAAATTGAATAAAATGTTTAAAGTTGATGGATTCAAAATTTCAAAAATAAAAGGAGTGGTTAGTTTGAAATCTATTCCTCAATCAAGAATCACCGCATTAATGAAAATTGATGATTTAACAAAAAGAATAGAAGAGATTGAAGAAAGAATGAATCAAATAATTGATTTCATAAATTCAAATAATCATTAGTTTCTTAAAGTTCTATGTTGAACTCATCAATTTCTTCTTCTCGTTTATGAGGTCTTTGATTATGACTCCATTGATTCCATGAAATTAAATATTCTTTATCATTATATTTATACCTCATTAGCTTTTTTTGGCTTTCATATTCATTTAATAATTCACAGTCTTCCTTTTTAAATTGAAGTTTAACCCATTCAGGATTTAAACAATGTTTAATTAATCGCGGAATATCTGACATCATCTATATATAGCTTCTTTTATAAAAGATAAAAAATAAATTATTTTAAAATTAATGTTAATTTTTTAATGATTTATAAATAAATATATTTTAATGCATCGTCTATATATAGATGTAACAAAAAAAGTCACACAACCCTTCCTATCCTACTACTGAGGATATTGCATTATATTTACTTAATTTATACTCGCCAATTATGAGTAAATATCATGTGCATTTGATGCACATGTATATTTTTTGAATTTCTGAGCTAATTTGGAAAATGAATTGTTATTGAAACAAGCATTTAATGCAACAACCTATTTCCATAGGAGTTTATATTGCTTAATAAGTGATCTGGCAATATAAAACTACTGAGTTTCTAGCTGGAATCCAGAATTACTAATTGCTCTCTCTGAATGGTTGGTATGAATTACATCATTCAACATGAGGTAGAATTCACATCACTGAAAATACATCATTCTGACAAAGGACTAATAAGTATCTGGCATTTTCTGGAGAAATAGGTATTGCTGTTAATTGAGCAGTAGCTTGAAGCCATAAAGAAATATGATAATAAAATAATATAAGCAAAAAACTATAATTTTATTAAAATAACCCAGATTCGAAATTTTTCAACGTTTAGAGGTATCCTGAAGCTTTGTTGGGTTGTAATAGTAAGTCAATTCTGGGGCAGGTTCATTGACATAAGATGTCATGATTGCGTCTTCGACAGCAGTAGCCAAATCTTCGAAATGGAAACCCAAATCGTTATCATCCATTATTGGTGCCGCTGGGTTGTTCAAATCTCTGAATCCCTGGTCATTAAAAGGCAAAGCAGTCATTGCAATTGCGATTAACTTAGAAAGTGTTTGGAGTCTTGTTGATTCTTCACCTTTCTTATCTAACATTGGTGTCAAAATATTCAACATGTATTTAGAGGTGAAAGCAGGAATTTCTGTTCTTATCTTAAAGAACGCGATCATTGCTGTTGTGAAGAATTCCGTCTTATTCTCTCTTGTTATCAATCCCAAGAACAATGTTTGTGCGATAAACAATGCTTCGTAAGGAGTTCTTTTATCCAATTCCTCGCAAATGTAATCACTAAATGATTGTTCACCTAAATACTTTGATAAATCAATATCTGTCATTGCAGCTGCAATTGCAACGAAGTAAACACTCTCATAATGTATGTTAATATTATCTAGACATAATTGAAGAACGTCTATTGCTGCTTTCTTTATCTTTTGGTCGGCCAATGGACCAACTAAAGCTCCAGCCAAAGCGATACCGAAATAAGCTTCGAAGTTTGTTGATCCATCTTCGAATCCATCGTACATTGAATCATAAAATGATTCCATTGCGTTGATCAACAAATCGCTTTGATTGATGGAACTCGCTATATCCAAAATCGTTGGATAATTCATGACATCTTTCGTGAAAACGAAAATTGCTTTGATTAGTTTCAAAGCGCTCAATTTCAAGTCACTTGAATTCGACTGCAACAAAGGAAAGATTGCCCAGATCAAGAACAAAGGCTGAACATTGTATCTCTTGTATGAATAGATGTATTCAGTCACTGTTTCAATGTTATAAATTAATCTGTGTTCATTCTTTGACTGGAAAGCTCTCTTTATCACAGCAATCGACTGCATTTCGGATAAATCTGATGCCAAAACTAATGGATCTGGATATCCTGAATGTGTTGTGATGTCAATGTATTTCAAGAACAAATCATATTCATTGGATTTAGCAGCTGCTTCGTAAACTATTGATAGATAATTTTTAGGATCTCTCTTCATTTGATTGAACTTTTCAAGAATTTCTTTTTCATCTTTATAAGTCAAATATTGTGTAAAGAATGTCTTGAAAATAGTTAATAAATCAGCAGGATACAAAGACAAACCAATTGCCATGATATATAATGATGTCGCTTCTCTTGTCTTGAAGAGATCTTTGCTCTTCGTGTAGACATTTGAAATAACATATAAACAAGCTGGTTTCATGACAAATTTATAAAATGTCATTAATGAAATTTCGTTTTTGATTAAACGAGTGTACAAACTATCATAAATAGCTTCAGAATTCTTCTTCAACAGACAGAAAACTAAATCAGCAAATTGCTTTGCTTCACAAAATTGAGCAATAATAGGAATGACGCAATAAATGAATTTGCTGGAAGTAATCTTTGTCCAAAGTAATTCTTTCGCTGTAGCTTGTGCTTTTGGTTCTAAAGCATATAATCTTACAGTTGACTGTGCAATGATTGCCAACATAGAACTTGGAACATTTTCTGAATTAATCGTTTCCAAAATTGTTGTCAACATTGAAGAAGTCTTTAGTTGGATCTTTGAAAGAGAAAGGATTGCACTCATTTCGTATCTGTGCTGTTCACTTATCAATTGTGAGAAATTAGTGTGAGGAATTGCAAATCCACTCTGCGTATGGATGTAAGGATCAACGAAAGGAGTTTTTCCTTCAAGGCATTTCAAAGCAGCAAAGAACAATGAAATTCCTTGTGAACTCAACTCACTTTCTGTTGAAGAAACAGTGTGGAAAGCAATGGAAACTAATTCAAGAAGAGGATCAATGGTTAAATCACTCCTTGGAAGTGACAAAGTTCTAATTTCTTTGTTGAAATTCTCAATCAACTTCAAAATTTGATTCGAAACACTTGAAGAGAATCTGATATCTCTGTAATTTGCATGCAAATGTAGGATGTTTCTGTTAACAGATATATCAGTGAGATCAATGAAATTGATGCTTGAAAAAACATCCATTCCATTTTCAACAGCGTAAAACTGGAAAGAATTGGATAAAACAATGAACCTGAAATTGGTAGTTGAATTCAATTCTCCGTTTATATTCAACTCAGGAATATATAACTGCATTGGCATAACACTTTCATCCAAGATTGATTGGTCAACCATTAAATCGAATTTTTCATCTTTTATCTCCATGATTTTTGTTGATAATCCAATTCCGCATCTCAACAAAGAAACAGAAGCAATTTTATCTCCAAGTTGTTGTATATATGTTGTGAAATTATCCATCAAACATTGGCAATCAACTTCTGCATCTAAAATAATTTTGACACTTTTTTCATTTGAATACTCTATCGTTTGCTTTGAAAATTCAATGATGTCATTCAAAGAAACTTCTTTAGGAATGTATTTCGTTGTCAAAAGCCAATATTTTCTTCTTGTTATCTGCTTATCGATACTTATAAGACATCTTGAGTTGTACAATGCCAAGAAAACAGGATCACATCTTGTGTATTTCTCGCAATCATGGAAATGAGCTGGTAAATCATCCAAAAAGTGATGTAACATTTTGATTTCATCACTTAAGACAGGGAAAGGTGGTGCGAAATAGGAGACGCTTACACTTTCAACGACAGTGAAGTAGTTTTTCATTTGGTTCATGACTTGGTCAGCAATCGTTTCTGCATCATTGACTTCCCAGAACGTGTAGCCAAATGGAAGAGGTGTTTGCAAAATTGGCAAAATAAACAAGTCTCTGAAAATTTGAGTGACAGAAAAACCACTTTTCAATGAAAGTTCCTTCAAATAATAAGGGAAACTTCCATGAGGAATGAACTGTCTGAAGAAAGACTTGTGAATGTTGACAGCTTTCATGCATGTCTCAACTACTTGTGGTGTTGCACAAATGTAGAACCAAACAGAAAAGAAATTCTTGATCACTTCATCTCTGGTGTTTTTCTTTGTTTTGAGTTCATTTGCCATCATGTCAAATATTACATCTCCTTTCATATTTGCTATGACGTGTTTGATGGCAGCCATGTAGAAACTGATACAATTAATTGGTGGTTCTTTGAAAATCTTGTAATCAGCCTTTGACAATTTTTTGATGTAAAAACTGTCTTTTATTTTATCATCGTTTTCCAAATATTTCATCATCGCGTCATTGAAGACTCTTGATAATATAGAATCAGGCATTCTCGCGTAGTACATGTAGATCGGATACACGTTATCAACATTGTTAATCAATATTGTGTATATCAAGTCACCAAAACATTGTCTGACTTCAATTTCATCTTCAATGTCGTTTATCAAACAATCAACTAAAACAGCAAAGAAATGGGAGATCTTTTCTAATGTGTAACTCAATGTATCGTAATTGGAGATATTGCCATATACACTGGAATCACCTGGCTCTATCTTGAATCCGATGAAAACTTTCTCCAAAACTTTCAAACAGCGAGGAATTGATCTGGTTTTGTTTTTGCTTTCGTTTTGTATCATGTAAACTAATGCATAAGCAACACACATTCTCCTCGCTGTTGATACTTTTGGACAGTTCTCGTACAATGAGGTGATCAACGCTAAGATTGGTTGTTTGATAATGTTCGATTCAAGCCCGTCACATAATTGTAAATCTTGTAAAATGTAAACTACAAATTGTTCGAGTTGCGATGAGGAGTAGGAATGGGCTTCTCTCGTCGACATCGCGGCGGAAAGCAATTTGAGGGTCTGTGACCAATGTTTCTTGGCTTGAGGTGATGAATCGAGTTTAATTTCCTTCAATGATTCTAATGCGGCGTCGAGAAGTGATGGAGTGGATGCTTTCTCGATGAACTTGGACTTCTCGATTATTTGGGAGAGGCCACCGCTTCCGAAACCGAACAAAACAAACAAACTTTCGTAGAATACTTTGACAGGAGGTTTTTCAATGATATCTATGCGCTTGTGATCTAATATAGCTGCACAGTTCTTGAAAATGTACTCGACCAAAGGAGCTGCAATCAAAATATTGAAGTTTCCTTGGATCTTATAGTTTATTACGGTCTGGCACTTTCCTCCTGTGGTTGAACTGACGAGAGCAAGCCAGATACTGAGGCATTTGATCACTGTTGAGGCGTAGATGTCGGAACTACCAACAGATTGCATCGACCAATTTTCATCAAGGCCAAGAGATGTTTTAATCGAATCTACAGTGTTTGTATCGAAAAGAACATCAAGAATGGCGCAAATGGAAATGATAGATTTGCCCATTTCGGATAATCCGTCGTTTAATTTTGAATTAATTGTCCAAGAAACGAATTTGTCGATCAATATCGATGCGTAAGGAAGCATCGGATCATAATTAAGAATAAGACGCTGGATAAACATGTCAATATTCAAGAAAAGTTCCATTAATTGTAAAGGATCTGGAAGAATGTTTGTTTGTGAGAAAAGAGTGATGAGAGCCTTCAAATAATACTGAGAAAAGTTCGGTAAAGCGAAATATGTTGATGCATATTTGTTTAAAAGCTCAAAATAATTCGGAATTAAATCTTTGTGTTTTGTAAGGATGATTAAAGAGTGTGGAGTAGAGAATGTGTTGAAGAAGCAGCTTGTAAAGATTTTTGGGTTGACATTTGCTGTTTTGTTTAAAAATACGTGGAAATAATTTTTCATAAGTTCTGGGTTGATGTAATTGATTCCATAGATATTATCTTTCAATACGAACTCGATTGATTGTGGTAAAATCATTGGATTTGGATGTCCTGACAAAATCGGAATTATATAAGTTTGGAAACCAGTTTCTCCGCCTTTTGCAGAGATGATATCGTATGATAAGTACTTAGGAACAATTGTATCGACGATTTCTTGTAATTTCGCTTTGTTTTTAGAATTTGTGTAATAATTTTCGAAATTTGACTTTAAGAAGGCGATATCTTTGCTTGCAGCTGTTCCACGGAGTATTGTGGATGCAATGACGTGATTAAAACCTTCTTGAGCTTGAGGATTTAATTTTGACAATTTTTTCACTTCCAAAACCTTTTTAACTATCTGGTTTACGCAGTCACTATTCTCCTTTGATCCCAAAGACAGTGACATGAGTAAAACCAAGAATTCGGATATATCTTCTTCGCGAATTGGTTTCAACGACCAAAAAATGTTAAGGAGGTCACGAGATCTCGGGGAATAAGGACAAACATGAAGGTATTTGCATTTACGATATAATTCAGGGATCATTGTCTTTAATAATTCGTAATATTGAATTCGATTTTCAGTTGAAAGTTGTCTGTAGAAGCCCGCCATGCTTTCAAATGTGATATCTATCGCTTTATTGATCTGCAAGTAGAATTGAATTGCATTTACGAAGTCTGTTACGTTAGTAATTGAAGATAAAGACTTTACAATAGGAATAGCGCCATTATCAATGAAATGATTGGCTATACTTGCCAAAGTTCGTATTAGAACTTGCTTTTGTGGATTTTGAATCGTAATTTTCGTGGAATCATCCAAAAATTTGTTGAAAGTAAGCTCTTCGGAAACTCTAAATGTGCATCCTGAAACGCATTTAAGAAGATAATCGTATATTATGATTTCAACAATTCCAACGTCTTGAATGACTCTTGAATTTACTAAACTTGCAACGTAGGATGTAATTTTGTTAAATATCATAAAGAACGAAATGTTTTTATCGATATTATATATATCAATGAAATCCTGGACGTAAGTTGATTCCAAATCTGAAAGCCAAATTTCTGGAAGGAAAAGTTCGCCATCAGTTCCAAGAAACGGAACTCTATCCTTGTGCGCTTGAATTTTTGCCACTATCTGATTGACAATAGTTTGAAGGGCACTAGAAATAGAAGATTCCATAATTTTGTATCAGAAACTTTTTTTTATCAAATTCAGAACTGAAATTGCAATCATACTTAAAATTAATTGCTATTTCATTTTCGTTGATAATTAGGTTCCATTTTTTCAAAAGCGATGACAAAAAAAGTGTTTAATTCAGATTTCGAAGCATTCCCATTAAGGAACTGGAACTTATGCTTACAAATTTAGCAGATACATTCTCTAAGCATTTCAATATCATATGATTGATTGATCAAAATTGAATTAAAAATTAAAAAAATAATTTTTCCAATAAATTAAGTTAAAATTACAATAATAAAGTTTATTAATATGACAAATCAAGATTATTCCTCATAGCTATCAATTTCTTCGGGTGAATCATCAAAATCAATATATTCACCATCATTTATTTCATCTTTGATGGCCTTATCATCATGTTCATCATCAGATGGATCAAAGTATTCTATTCCTGTTGTCCAGTCAACATTTGGTTGTGGACCTTGTGCTTGAGGCATTACGTTTTCGTTGTGGATCTTGAAATCGTCTTTATGAGCAATAAAATACTTAGACATTCTCATAAGTCCGAACTTGACTGTTCCCGTAGAGCAGAAAAAGAAATCTTCAGTATGATCAGCGTAAACCATGAAAGCTGGGATGTTCTTGTATAAATAGCACCATTGTGGATCAATTGCAATCTTGCAACCTTTGAATAAATAGTTGACTAAATCAAGATTGTGGGCAAGAATGGCATTTCTCATGCAAATTTCATCAGGCTTGTAACGGCGAATACATTAGTTCACAATTTCACGACTTCCGCTAGCGAAAGCGAGATGTATGCATTTTTTTGTAAATTTTGCGCCAAATTTTGTACGTAAAATCTTAAAACATTTAGCAGCACCATGATAGCAACACAGCTCGAGAAGACTGAAATCAAAAATTTCTTCGCATGGATATAAATCTGAGTAAATTGTTTGTTCTGGATTGAAACCTGGCAATTCAGTGAACTGAATAAAAGCAGTATCATTATCTTCCATAATTGCTCTGAAAATTGTTCCTTCTTTGTGAACATCTTCCCTATATTTTTTAGTATAAACCCATGGTTCACTAAATTGAGTATGTTTTTCGTCCTTTATGATTTTATATTTCCTATATAAGAAGTATGCACAAATAGGATTATCCGTAGAATCTCTTTTTGGCTTGAATTCTAGAAATAGTCTTTTATAAAGTGAAACGTATCCAGGTAAGAAGCGATTTCTATACTCGGCAGCTCTTGAAATTTCACTTAATATTAATTTTACGGGAATTTTATATCTATTAATAACGGTCTGTTTAATTTTTTCGTAAACTCCGTCTATTATTTCAGGATTGTTGGATGAGAGTTTGAAAATGCCTTCATATGCATCAATGTACTCTTTAAAGAGATCAACAACTTCTGCAAATCGCTTGTGATCTGTCATTTACTTTTTTTTATACAAAACTTTTTGGAGTGATTTTTCAGAGCCAACATTAAGATATCAATAAAGAAGAAGTAGCACCAAATATTTAGGAAACCTCTAATTATTAGGATGTCAATTAGAACAACGGCTCTAGAGTATTCGATGAGATTATCGAAATAAGCAGAATATTATCCTATATTCATTCATTACTAGAAGTACTTACTGATAAAAGTTTGAATTAATTTTGTTTTAAAGTTCAAATTAATATCCTCTCATATTTTCAATTCAAATTCTTCAGTAAACCAAGGAAAGATAGTAACGCACAACAGAATATACACTGCAATGTGAAGAGCAGTTAATCTTCTTATGATGTTAAAGGTGACATATGTACGGAAATAAAATTAATGATTTATTAAATAAATTATTAAAATAAACCAAGTTCACTACCTTTGCTAAGAGTGAATACAAAGAAGGATATGAAATATCGGTAGTGTTCGGATTTTTTGCATGTAATGATGCTACATGCTTTGATGCAATCTCTATTAAGATGACAATCTTTATAAAGATGTTCAAGGAATGATTCTGTATTATTCTCAATGTTAATGCCACATGTGAGGCCAATGCAGTTATAAAATGCATGTGTTTGAATAGTTTTAACACAAATAAGGATGTTGATGTGAGTAAGAGATGTACAGTCTGCAAATGCATAGCGATAGATAGTTTCAACTGAGTTATCTGGAATGAGGATGTTGACAATTTTCCTGCAGCCAAGGAATGCACCGGCTGAGATATTACGAATAGTGGATGGGACGTAGAAGAATTTGCATGGAGATGCAGGAGGGAAGCAGACGATTATTGTTTTATTCTTGTCGAAAAGAGCGTAGTTATCTACTGTGAAGTACATGCTGTCATTGCAAACAAACTGGCGGAGTGATGTACATCCTTCGAAAACAAAGTAACCAAGTGATGCGAATGAACTGTTTTCGCCAATGATGAATGTATCAAGATTCATGCAGTTTTTGAATGCATAATCTGAGATTAATTCTGTATCATGTGGAACTGTGAATGTTGTTATATTTGTAGAGTCGAACGCATTTGTTCCAATTTCTCGGATCGAATTAGGCAAATTAATATATCGAAGTTTTGTCGCTCCGTTAAAAGCTTGAGAAGGAATAATAGATATTGAAGGATTTCCTAAAAATGTGATATTTTCGATACCTGAATTTCTAAATATATTTGAACCTATACTTTGAATCGTATCAGGAATCTCTATTGTTTGCAATGAAGTACAACCTAAAAAACAATTATTACTGATCACAGTGATATTTCTTAAAATAATTGTTTTCAATTTTGAACAATAAATAAAAGAGTTACCCCCTAAACCTGTTCTATTTGATCCTTCGAAGATCACGGTTTCTAATTTTCCACATGCATAAAATGCAATACCAATTGATTTGATATTTCTTCCAAAACGAACTTCCTTTAATTGATTGCAATATTGAAATCCATAAACACTAATAGTTTCTAAAGAATCTGGGAAATAAATAGTTTTAATTGAAGCGCATGCTCTGAATGCATAATTTGCAATATATGTTAGTTTATTTGGAAAATCAATACTTTCAAGATTGAGGCATCCCCAAAAAGCTGCATCTCGAATCGTGGTTAAACTAGAGTTCGATGTGAAATTTATAGTTTTCAGTTTCAAAAGATCTTTAAACAAATCATTTGAAATAACAGAAACTGTAGATGGGATGTCATAGTGTTCAAGTTCACTGAAACGCATATAAATGATTGTTTTGTTACCATCGTATAATAAACTTTGATTATCAAAAGAAAATGGAGCTTCTTCTGGAAAATCAAGAAAAACATCAAATGGGAAACAATTTCCTTCAATCCATTTTAGACTTTTAGGAAGTTTCATATATTTTAAATTACCGCATTGATAAAATGCTCCATTTTTGATAGTTGTAATCTTGTCATTAAAAGTAATATTCGAAATACTAGAACTAACAAAGCATCTCATTGGAATAATTGTGATTCCTTTTCCAATAACAACAGTATTGAGATATCTGCATTGAGAAAATGCATTATCTCCAATTTTTATCACTGAATCTGGAATAGTAACATTAATAACATGTGATCTTTCAAATGAAGAATCGAGAATAGTTCTGAGTTTTGAATTAAAAGTAATATTTTCTATAGAATGATCAGCAAAAACAGCTTTGCTCATTGTTTCAACTGTTTCTGGCATAATAAAAGAGGTAAAGTTTTTTTGGAAGCATAATATGATTGATGTTTTAGCTTTATTGTACAGAACCCCACCTTCTACTGAGAAGAAATTGTTTTGAGAGTCACAAATAATTTCATTAAAAATAGAAGCACCCATAAATGCGTATTCACTAACATATGATACATTTTTGGAAGATGTATTTGTGTTATCAATGTTCCAGAGAAAGCACCAATTCCAATACTAACTAATTGAGATTCAGGTCCAATATTTATAGCTTGAAGGCTTTTACATCCAGATAAACAAAAATTCGCTAAATATTTAATTGAATCTTGGATATTAAATGATGAAAATAAACAATTTGAAAATACGCCCTGAGATAATCCTGATAAATTTTTAGAAAGAATAACTTGAGATAATGTAGAACATCCTTCAAAAGCATGTGATTTGATTTCTTGAAGGAATTCGCAATTTGTGAAGTCAATGAATGAAAGTTTATAACAACCCCTAAAAGCATAGTCACCAATGGTTTTAAGCATTGAGTCAGGAGTAAATGTGATTGAAAGGAGTGTGTTTTGGCTATAATTTGTTGCACTTGCATCTCCTGTGATAACTTCGCATGTTGGTTTAAGAATAACATGAACACTTTGGTCGGTCGCAAATAGGACACGATCATTATCAATATATGTTTCACCAACAACTATTTGTTAGTTCTCATAGAGAACAACAGTAAAATAATTTGTGAATCTTTGAAAATTAATTTTCAATATATTATATCATTCATCGGATCAATAATAATATTTTATCATCAAACGCAACCGTTCATTTTTCGGATCTGAAATTTTCATTCAATTTTTCAGTCCTTTGAAAAAAAAAGTTTGACTAATTTTAGATTTCGCCTCTTGTTTCTGTGGAATCATATGAAATCCTCAATAATAATAGTATATCAAAGCAAACATTGGTATTCTCAAAACAGCTATTTGTTTGCCTGACCATAAATTTATTTAAGCATGTGCAAAGATTTTAGTTTTTTTAGACATTGTAGATGGAATCATCAATATATCTTGATAAATTTGTAAGTAAATTAGTATATTCTTCTTGTTCAAGATTAAGTGGGATGATTCCTGTCAATGTCTTGTAAACAAGACTGTCTGGTGGATCTGTAACGTACGGCTTAAGATTTGGAGGTATTTCGAGTGGTCGTGATGACTTCTTGTGCGATGCTTGAGTAGCATTTGATCTGCCTGTTGTACAATCATCAGTTGCCAAAACATAATGAATTATCAACTTATAAGTTCCCTAAGACATGGCTCTATTTATTGGTAAGGCTGCATAATTTTTTGCGCCCCATATTTAGTATCTTTGTTAAGGATGGGCACTCATAGGCTCCTGACAGCATAAAAATGTTATTATCTCACAATATAAAAGGAATCATAGGAATCTACAACTATATCTATATTGTTGGAAGACTTCTTAATGTATCATGCATATAAGTTATATCAATAACTCCATTATGTTATATGATTGTAATCATATTTTCGTTTCATGTTCAAAAACATTAAAATCATACTAACTATATGAGTATTATATTTAGGAAGCTGATATATAGATATGATAAAATCCTAGGTTTTGTGATTAAGAATATATACTTATCTTTTAGAAAATAATACTTTTATAAAAAATTATATCTTATATAATCTAAAAATTTTGGACAATTAAAAAACATTAATTAAAAATAGAAGGTGAAAGTGTTTATTCAAAGAAGGTGCAAGATTATGATGTTTTGAGGGTGAAATAAATTTAATAATTATTTATGTGATTTAAGAGTAATACAATCATCGGTAGCTTGAAGACCTCTCTTTATAGCTCTTAATGCCGCAAACTTTTTTTGAACTTGCTTTGAATTTTTGAATGCTTTGATTAAATCTTTTGTTGTATCATACATTCTGAAATATCTGTTCATCATTTCTGGCATTGTTGGTAAATTTAACCTGTATCTTATTGCTACAATCGTTTCAAACATACTTTCATTGAAATGCAATATTGTGACTGCCATCCTAATTGGCCAAGAAGCATGCCAATTAATATTTTTATTAGCAAGCATTGCTTTGATATGGTTTATCGATTCAACTACTTGAGTTGAATGAATCTTTTTTACCATATCAAAGATTTTTACGGTATCTTCGAGGAATTTTTTAAGTGTTTTTATAGCAGTTTTATTTTTTGCATATTTCCATGGTTTAATCATCTTGCATTTTTCAGGATCTGGACAAAATTTATGATTTCCGGCATAATGTTTAGCGGAATTCAACCATAAAAACTTCTTTGTTTTAATTGACATATGTGTGTCATTGAGAAGTTGCCTAAGCCAACGCAATAAATTCTTTGAAATGCTAGATAAGATTCTGAATTCTGGCAGTTTGAGCTTTTTCTGTATATTGTTAAGAAAATGTCCAGGATCTCTGTATTCTCTGATACCTTTGAACGTATTTTTGATTGTAGAAACAATTTTGACATCGCCATCATGCACAAAAAAATTTACACGTTTTTCATTATTCCAACGCTTCAGCATTCTTTTTAAGCCTTCAAATTCCATTTCATTTGATTTTCCGTTGAAATTACCTTTGAAATTTTTAAAAGATTTAGATATCACTTCCCAATCTACAATTTTTTTGAGTTTCTCTTCTACAAATTGTACATAGCAAAACATTGCATTTCTTCTCTGACTCCAAGAACCGTCAAACAAAAGTCCCGAACATTTTCTCATTCGAGATTTCCAATAATTAACAGATTCTCTGGCAACTTCTATGATAACACGACCAACCTTTTCTTGGACTCGATGAAATGTAGCTTCTGACGGAACTTTGATGTTATTCAGCATGAATTGAAATTCTGATTGGCAAAATGTAGCGCCGCTCAATAATACAGATAGCACAAATTCAACAGTGTTGACGACATATGGCTCTACCCTATTTTTCGCGCTTTGAACTAAGTTCTTTATACGCTTTGCAACTGCTTTTGTTCGCCGCGGCATGAAAAATGAAGAATAACTTGACGGTTTCTTGAACAAATGGTCGCACATTCAAATATTGTGATGTACGATCAGGATAAAAGAATGTTGTTGCCGTGAATTTAGAAAATAGCAAAATTTCAATTTACGCAATCGAGATATAACTTGATCGTTTGAGCGATAACCATGGCACCCATAGTATTAATGAAAGTACTCATACTTACAATTATTTTCTCCCATAGGAATATTGTTCAATATATTTTACCTATAGAGGAAATCTCGAAATAAAATCGAATTTTTTCAAAAATTACAAAAATCAATTTTTTACAAAGATGTTCGAAAAATAACATTATATACGCATCAAATCAAAGCATTATATGGAGCATTATAATTCTATATATGATTGTCCATCTTGCTGTTGTGCTATATTTTTTAAACAATAATTTCATTGTTGAAATTAAATTTGCAATTTCAGTAAAAATTGCGACCCATCATTTTGAATATAATTGAATTAATACATTTATTGTAAGAATATTATATACCAAATATTAGACTTCCACATGAATCCTGGTATGATATTATAAGTATTGCAAAATTAGAAAAAAATATGCTCATGATATACTAAAATTCATGTTTCAAGGTTAACTTATAAATAAAATAAGTTCGAGAAATGCATCACTAAATGTTTGAGCTTGTGCACTATAATGCTATATAATAGTCTTCACTGTTTTTAATATATTGACTTTGCTAGACTTGATTTTTTTCATCACCCTAATGAGTGCCCATCCTTAAATGAGGTACAAAGTAAGATTGCGGAACAGTGTGCCATTCTGGGAGACATGCACCCATAATTTTTTTAATAATCGTTTTCCTCAATAATTATAGATGGCAGGGATAGACTTTGGGGTTTTGAGGGAATTGGGTTTTGCACCATGTAAAATAAGAAAATCGATTAATTCCTTGTTGTGTTCTCTGCTTATAATGCTAAAAGCTGTATCTCCGTATTTATCTTTTTCGTTGATATCTGCACCGTGTGAAACAAGAAGTTCTATTACTTCTTTATTATGTCTTAAAGCTGTCAAATGAAGAGGTGTTCTTCCATTTTCATCTTTTTCATTAATACTTGCACCATGTGAAATAAGAAGTTCAACTATATCTTTAATATAGGGTGTCCAAAGGTGTGTTTAGCACAAACCTGAATACTGCGAATAGAAATAAACAAGTTACATATATATAAAGTTTATTTAAATATAATCACCATTGGATTCAATCACGCGTTCGCAGCGATCGATCCAGGCTTGAAAGACACGCTTTAAATCATCATGAGAAAATTGCTCAAATTGCTCTCTTACAAAATTTTCAAGATCATCTGGACTCGCGAATTCGCGTCCTTCAGCTCTCTTTTTTAGCGTGCCGAATAAATAAAAGTCAGAGGGTGCAATATCAGGTGAATAAATTGGGTTTGGAACAACTTTGACATTGTTTTCCACCAAGTAATTCATTACCTTATGACTTTTGTGAACTCTTGAATTATCAAAATGAATTGCAAACTTTTGTTTTTGTTGTTTGGATTTCTCAAACTCATCAGAATTGATAATTTGAGTAAGAACATTGTCAATTAGATACTGAGCATTCATCGTATTAGGTTTTTGAAGAATATCAATTGCGATGATGCCATTCACGCCCCAAAAAACCGACAACATCATCATTGGTGTGTCAATTTTTTTCTTCGGGAATGTTTGCGGATTTTCATCCTTCGGGATCCACATGATTTTGGCTTCTGTTGCATATTGAAACCAAGACTCGTCCCCTGTTACTAAAAAGCGAAACTTCTTGGATTGATACGCACCCAATATAGAGAGGAGCTCTTTCGAAGATTGGACTCTAGATTTTTTTTGAACTGAATTAAGGTTGTGCGGAACCCAACGTGTATACGCTAGTTTGTAGTTCAAATAATTGTGCAGATAATAACTGACTGTTGTACGTGGTATCTTTGTCATCTCCTCTATCCTTCTGAGTGATGCTCTTGGGTCTTCATCTAGCGCTTGAAGAATTGCTTTGATTTTTCTTTGATCCGGCGATTTTTTGTCAATTTTTATGATGGGCGCCTTTTTGTTCATGAAGTGATACATCCTAACATGATACGTTACAGTGAAATAGCTAGGAGCATCCATACCGAAGCATTTTACCAATGTCTCGTAGATTTTTTTACAGTCTTTGCATTTTTTTGCAAGAGCGAGGATGTTTTCTTTATGATTCATTAAAAAAATGAAAAAAATTCCGCCAAAATTTCCCGCGAAACCGCCTCTTGTCTCAAAATCCATTTTATATCCCGGCATGGCGCCAAAATACAACATACTCATCATATACATATATTCATATTTTTTATTATATATTTATAATCAGCATATATCTCCTTTAATAGTCTCATATAGAGCGCTGTGCTAAACGCACCTTTGGACACCCTATATTAAATCTTGCTGCATTATGAAGGGCCGTTTCTCGATTTTTATTTTTTTTTTTTCATTGATTTTTGCACCGTGTAAAATAAGAAGTTCGGCCATTGCTTTATGCTTATAACATGCTGTAATATGAAGAGGGGTATCTCCACAATTATCTTTTTCATTGATTTTTGCACCATGTGAAAGAAGACATTCTGCAATCTCCGTAGTATTGTGTCGTGATGAAATATGCAGTGGGGTGTTCCCTTCATCATCTTTTGCATTGACTTTTGCACCATGTGAAAGGAGAAGTTTAACTCCTGCTATATTATTCATGTTTGTAGCAGCATGAAGAACTGTTTCTTTACTATCATCTTTTTGATTGATTTTTGCACCATGTAAAAGAAGAAATTCTGTGACTTCTGTTTTAGGAAATGATGCTGCGAGTTGAAGAGGAGTGAAACCAAACTTAGCTCTTTGATTGATTTTTGCACCATGTGAAAGAAGAAGTTCGACCATTTTTTGCTTTGTAAAAATGCAGCTTTATGAAGAGGTCTTTCTCCATCTTTATCTCTTTCATTGACTTTGGCACCATGAGAAAGAAGAAGTTTGGCCATTTCTATATTATCGTTATATGTTGCATAATGAAAAGCAGTTTTTCCCTCTTCATCTTTTTCATTGATTTTGGCTTTGAATGAAATAAGAAGTTCGGCTGTTTCATCATTATCATTTTCTGCTGCATAATGAAGAGCAGTTTTTTTATAATCATCTTTTTCATTGATATTTGCACCATGAGAAAGGAGAAGTTCAGCTATTTCTTTACTATTATTTTCTGCTGCATAATGAAGAGCGGTTTTTCCATGTCTGTCTTTTTCATTGATATTTGCACCATGAGAAAGGAGAAGTTCGGCTATTTCTTTACTATTATTTTCTGCCGCATAATGAAGAGCGGTTTTTCCATAATTATCCTTTTCATTGATTTTAATATCGCGTGAGAGAAGAAGTGGAGCGGTTTGTATACTATTATTTGCTGCCATATAATGTAGAGCAGTTTTTCCAAACAAATCTTTTTCGTTGATATTTGCACCATAATAAAGGAAATATTCGCAAAGGGATGGAATATCAAACATCATTGAATAAATAAAACATTTGTTAATATCATTCTTTTGATCGAAATAAACTAAAAGTGATTCCAGATTTTTGTATTGTCCACAAGCTAATAAATCCATTTTTGAGTTATATTCGCTCATCAAGAATGTAACGAAATCAATGTTGTGTGAAATAATTGCATATTTCATAGTAATTTCATCAGGCTTTTGGTGTTTCAAACATTCACTCATAATCTCTTGATTTCTTCCTAAAAATGAAAAATCAATGCAATTGTGAGCTATTTGTGAGTCAAATTTTGTTCTTAATAACTTGAAACAATCTACTGCTCCGTGGTAACAACATAATTCAAGTAACGTTGCTCCTTTATCAACAATTGGATACAAAGAGTTGTAAAGAGTTTTTTCTTTATCAAAATCATCGCGTTCGATGAATTGTATGAATCTTTCTTTGTCATTATCCATAATTGCCGTGAAAATATTATTTTCTGAATGAATGTTGGGATTTTGAAATTGAATTTCTTTGAATTTTTTATATTTGTATAATGTAATCCCATACTCTTTATAAAACAAGAAGCTACAAATGGTAGGAATTTTGTTGACCTCTGTTACATGATAATCATCAGTTATACGTTTTGCAAGATATAAATATGACTTTGTATAGCGATTATTATACGGAATGATATTTAAAATATCTCTTACAATGCTTTTTGGGAAATAATTATTTGAATCTATCAATTCTGTTTTGATCATATTGTAAATCGTGTTTAATTCTTCTTCATTTTCCGTTTTTAGCCGATACAATGCAGTATATGAATCGATATAGTATTTATAGATATTTCGCAATTCATCGTATTTATTTGTGTTAGTGTCTTGATCAGACATGCACTGAACAACATCTTTGTTATTCAATAAGGAATAAATACAATAATATGCATGTGAAAAACAATGCCCACAAATTTCAGATAATATTTATCAATTTTGATTATGTTCATAGATAAAAAAGGGAACTTCATCGACAACAACGGTATCGACCAAAATTGTTCCCATTTTTTCAATGTTCATATTGTATCTAAATTGAATTTTGCATTTTGCTAGTATTACTAGCCGAACACAGCTTGCAATGATATAAAGTCTTTTACAAGTAGCTACAACATTTATGAATGCGTTGAACATAACTTTATTTTCATGTTAACTTCTGAAATTGTTTCATTTTGTCGAAATATTCGCATCAGCATCACTTATTGTCGCCTGGGCACCCTTAAGCTCATTCAAAGAAGTTCAATGGAGCCAAATGTGTTAAAAGAAATCCAAATTTTACATTTTAAAAAAACAATATTAATTTTTACAAAATATAACAAAAAAACATTATAATTGGATATATATAAATTATACACCATCATAAAGTCTTGACATAGGATTTGATTTGTGGGTCTTTGGTTTAGTGATCATTGGTACATTGGATAAGCTCTTTGATCTATCTCTCTTCTTTGGAACAAATGTTGGAGCTTTCAATTTAGCAGTTGCTACGAAATCAGGTAATTTTTGTTCTGAAAACATCTTTGTTGTTCTTCGAGATGATTTTTCTCTTGCGGAAGGCTGAGCTGTATGTGTTTTATTCTCATCTTCTTTGATATCCAAATCCTTGTTCTTACTTAATAATTCCGATTTTTCTCTCTCAAGGATTTCTAATCTCTTTATATATTGGTTAAGTTGTCTCTGCTTTGTATGTTCAATATCACTGATTGTTTTTTCGCTGTAGTTGATAATCATCGCTTGTTCGACTTGATAAGTCTTTGTAAGTTTCTTATCTGCGACATCATAATCGTCTTGCATTCTCTTCTGCATTGCTTCTGTTTCCTCTTTCTCTCTTGCTTCAATTTGTGCGGAAATTGCATCAACATGATCTAATTTTCTTGATTTAACCATCTTTGCAAGCATATTCCTCATATTCAACAGTTCTGCTGATGGTTTCTGGTATTGCTGTGATTTATCAGGTGCTGACCATTGTTGATCCAATTGATCTAAAGCTTGTAGATATTTTTCATTGAGTAATTGGAGTCTTGTATTTGTGTCTTCTTTAACTGCTTCAATTTGCTTATCCCAATGTTCATTGACTTGATCTAAAGCAGATTTAGTTTCTTTGATCTTTTGATCTATTTCGTCGTATGTAGCCTTAGTCTTTGGATTCCTACTTGCTTTGTCAGCTCTAAGTTCATTGGCAAGACCTTGAACATAAACGGCTTCTCCTATTAAATCGTTATCTATGCAAACATCAACATATCTTGATAAATTGGTAAGTAAATTAGTATATTCTTCTTGTTCAAGGTTAAGTGGGATGATTCCTGTCAATGTCTTGTAAACAAGACTGTCCGGTGGATCTGTAACGTACGGCTTAAGATTTGGAGGTATTTCAAGTGGTCGTGATGACTTTTTGTGAGATGCCTGTGTTGCATTTGATCTACCTGTTGTATAATCATCAGTTTGAGCACCAGCAGATTCAGTGTTATTATTTGGTTCTTGAGCAAAATCTTCTTCTGGCTTTTGATCTTCATTCTCATTAGCTGATTTTTCTGCTGATTGGTTACTTTCCTCTGTAAGAGTTTGTTCCTTTTCTCCATTCATGTTTAATTTTTCTTTAATGACTGGAGAAAGCTTTGTTTCTGCATCAGTAGTTTCGGAGTCTTTTTTATCGGTATTTTCTGCTTTATTTTCTTCAGGATTTTTATTTTGCTGTTTTTGCTCTCCAGATTCCGAAGATTGATTATTTTGCTGTGCATTTTGATCTTCTTTTGGAAATTGGATTACAAGCTTCTCTCCAATAGATTCTGAAAGTTTTGTGTCAGCATTATCTTGATTTGGAGTAGAATCTTTATTTTCTTCAGCTGGTTTGTTTTCTTGCTCTGGTTTGTTATCAGCAAGATTTCCTCCAAGAAGTTCAGAGAGTTTAGCTTTATTTATTGTAGATTCGGTTTGGTTTTCATCTTTATTAGCTTCTTCAGTGCCGTGTGCATCGCCATCTGACTTATCAGCGGTAGAATTAAGCAAAATGCTTAATCGATTAACGCCAATTTCGTCACTCATCGATTTTCAAAAAATAACGGGTTTCTATTCAGTATGTCATTCACTCAAAACAATGGATGATTAATATTCATCTCAATGCATACATTCCATTTTAACTCAAATTTCATGCGTCCTCCATATTTTTGGTATAAAATTTAAAAAATAATTGGAAAATTTTATCAAATTCAGTTGGATGTTAGATTATTAGATTTATGAGAAGTAACGTGTTAAAAAGCAAAAAGTAAAATAATATCTTGGGTTTATAGAAATAAAGAAAAAAGTGGGTGAACCGTGAATCGAACACGGATCTATTGAGCCACAATCAACAATACTAACCATTATACCATTCACCCCTCTGAAAATTTAATTTAAATTTTATTAATCATTTTAAATTGAAAAATCAAAAACAATTAGTGTGTTGTTGAGTATCAGAGATAATATCTCATATACCAGAAACCACATATTCTTTTTTCATATATCATTTCTCAAAATTCTACAATATAATGTTACTACAATCATACTAATCCACAAAGAAGGAGGAAATGAAAAATATATTCGACGTTGAATTAAATAAATAAGTTTTATTTATAAAGAAAAATATATAATATATAATTTATGTTAATTATCCATTTGGTTATATGCATCCTTGTCGTACTTAATATCAGAATTGATCAATTCCTTGAATGACATTGGCTTTTCAGGTGCCTCAGTCATTTCTCCAGTGATGTTCTGGTTCAAACCTGTTGTATCCAAATCGCCAAGTTCTTTCTGGTCATGAATAACGGAGTCCATGATCATCTTCTTTCTCTTCTGTGAGTTTTCGATTCTTTCATCGATTGTTCCTTCCATAACAATTGAGTAAATTCTGACTTGTTTCTTCTGTCCGATTCTGTGAACTCTATCTTCTGCTTGTAAATCAATAGCAGGATTCCAGTTCAATTCGAAGAATACGACAACGTTTGCAGCAGTCAAGTTAATACCATGACCAGCAGCGCTTTTAGTTGCAATGAACAAATCAGGACCATTTTCACTCATGAATGCATCAATGTTTTTATCTCTTTCGTCTTGACTTAATGATGAATCAAACTTAACAAATGTAGTGTCAACCAAACAAGGAATGACATATTTAATGATTTCCTTGATTGCTGATTCACTTTCGCAGAAAATGACAACTTTTTGTCTCAAAACTTCTTCTTTTCCTGGACCGAAACCTAAAGTATACAAAAGCAGATCTCTTAGAACAACCAATTTTCCTGATTCTTCAATTGTTCCTTCGCAAGAATCAGGACTTTCGAGTTCTGGATGGATATTTACATTCCTTTCAAACTTGAGTTTCGTGAATGTTGCTTCTGTTATTTCTTCTTCATCGATCTGTTCGAAATGGCTTTGTAAAAGGTTCTTTTGTACTTCAGAAAGAGTTGCTGTTTCTGTGTTATAAGATTTAGGCAAAACAGAGTTCAAAACATCTGTTTTCAGACGACGCAAAATGAGAGGCAAGACTTGGCTGTGGAGGTCTTCAAGGGCCTTCCTTCCTCGCTCTGTGTCTTGCTCTGATGCGTTTGTATCGAACATTTTGTTGATTGGATTTTCATACAATTTCCTGAATTGTTCCAAAGGACCTAAATATCCCGGCATCAAGAAATTGAACAAAGACCAAAGATCTAAAGCACCATTTTGGATTGGTGTACCGGACAAGATCAATCTGTGTTCACTAGAAATACTTGTTATGTTTTGAGCTGTTGAAGAACTTGAATTCTTAATTAAATGTCCTTCATCCAAAACAATGTATTTAAATGGTCTTCCGATGTTTAAGTTAACGAAATGTTTGGACATTCCATAACTTGTTACAACCAAACCAGAGAATTTCTTCAAATTATTGTTCTTGAAGAAACTTCTGTTATTTATTTTGACTGTTTCCATCCATGGGAAGAACTTTTCAACCTCTTTTGTCCAATGATAAACAACGTTTGGAGGAGCGAATATCAATGAAATAGGATTCTCTCCTTTCTCTATTGCATGTTTGTGGACTGTTGATATCGCGCAGAGAGTCTGGAATGTCTTACCAAGACCCATATCATCAGCCAAAATTCCGTTCAAACCGAATTCCAAAAGAAAACCAAGCCATTTGATACCATCGAATTGATAATCCAAAGGAGAAACACTTGGTTCAGGAAGAATCTCCATTGGCTTGATAAGCTTCGGATCAAACAATGGCTTAAGTTTTTCAAGTGACTGCAATTTGAGTTCTTTCAAATTTTCAGGAACATTTAATTCGTCACTTTTTTCTAATGGCAAATATTTAATTGAATTTGCCAAAGAATGGGAAATATATTGTTGAACGACTTTGTCGTCAGTCTTGAATCTGTTCTCGAGCAAAGAAGGAATGAAGAATGAGCACCATTGATGCTTTCCGAACTGTATATTTGACATAAACAAGTCAATAAATTCTGCCTGACCTCTATTGAATTTTGGCAAATCCATTGTCAAATAAACTTGCATGAATTCTTCTGTTTTTCTTCTTGCGTAGATTTCAGCAACCCATGCAGCCATTGTCACCAAATATTCTTCATTGTCTTCAGCGAAACATTTGATCAACTGTTCCAATGATTCCCTTGGCAAGATGTTGTTACCCATCACATAATAGTAACATCTCAAAAGTGTCTCTCTTGATGAAATAACTTTTGGAAGAATAGTTGTACACTGTAACAAAATGTTGTTCAAAACATCAGATGTGATGTCACGTCTTACTTGACTTATTGCTACAGCGAAACTTCTGTTTGGATTTGACTCTGGTATTAGTTTAGGGAAGAAACATTCTTCATGGTTCGTTGATTCTTCTGAAATCAATTGTTCAATGATGATGATTTTTCTTTCTTCATGTTTGTAATTTTTAATGGATAAGGCAACATAGTCTGTAATGAACTTGCGGAATGCGCCAAGTTTGACTGTTGTTATCTCTGGAATGTAATCAAGTGTTTTCCTTGGTTTAAATGTAAACAAATTTTTGAAGATCGGAATTGGATTCACTTTTAATATCATTGGAGAGATTTTAGCAAGTGTAGGCTCTTTTGCAAGCATTGACAAGCAGATAATATAAATAAAACAGATTGCAATTGGATTTTCGACACCTTTAAATGTAAGATTCTCTTTTACATTGAGATTGATGTACTTTCCAATTGATATAAGAATGGAAATGATACTTCCAAGCTTGTCCAAGTTCTTCTTGTCACTTGCGATGTTGCTACAGATCCTTACAACGTAATCTTCTCCAAATTCGAATCCTTGAATGTCAAGAAGTGATTTCAAGCAGTCGAATAACGAGACTGCCATAAGATTATACTTGTCTTCGTTGAGATTGATGCGAATTAATGTTTCTGACAGTCCGGCAATATCATAATCGGACCAAACATCGAGATATCCGACCTTCATGGTGGCTGTGAGTAGTGCATATGCTGACTTCCTTGCTTCGAGTGATCCTGTGGATGGTGTACCAGCAATTATGCATTTGTAAATTGTATCGAGTCCTTCTTTGGTTGCGAAGTAAGTAACGTCTTGTTTTTCGAGTAATTTGAGGGTAATATCGAGTAATATTTGGTTGAATGAGTTAATTGGATCGTAATTCATGAATTCGTCCCAAACAAGCTTTGCAACTTCATCTTTTTCCTCAATTTTACCGACAATTGGATAAACAGCTTCTGCAGCGTATGTAATGACGTCTTGGAAGATGTCGTCGTCGTGAGAACTCTGAAATGCGTTCTTAAAGTGATTGTAGATCCAATTTATGTCAAATACTTTAGCATCAATGGCACTGCAGTTCTTAAGGATAAGCCATGCGCACAATCTGAGTTGGTATGGCTCAGCTTGTATTAATTGTTCGATGATTGGAATTAATTGTTGAGGTTTTGTAATAATGATCTTGGAAATTAACTTGCAGGCTTCCATACTGACAGGAATAATGACCTTGTCTGATACAGAAGCATCGATAAATCTATCTCTGCAAATTAAAATCAAAAGACGTACTGCGATATCTTCTAAGTAAAATTTTGGAAGAGAAATTAACTCGTTACGCTCTTTAAGACCTTTGTAAACTTCTCCTAAAGCGATAACAGCACCATGTCTGTAAAACCAATCATTAGAATCGAGTTTTGTCAATAGAAGTTCTGTAAATTGGCAAAGTTCTGAGATGTTATTGTCTTCTGCTTTGAATTGTTGATTTTTATAATCGCTGGGTAGTTCTGTTTCTGATGACCATGTATTTAGTAAAACAGGGCAATCCTTGTCATTGAGAATCATTTGAGCATTGAATTCTTCGAACTTTCCATAGTTCCTTGTAACACTCCATCTCGAATATTTATGATTGCATTGAGGAATCAAAAATCCAATAGCAAGAGCAGCGCCACAACGTGTATCGTAGTTTGGATGCATGATCAAAGGATAGAGTTTTTCGAGCAAATATGAAAGTTCATATGCAAATTCTTTTTGGAGGAAGCCAATTTGCTCTGCAGCTGCACGCTTCATAGCAAATGTATACTTATTTCCCTTCAGAATCGAAATAAGACGTTCAAATTTAGAATTTGTTGACTTCTCTTTTTCGCTCATCTAAAAAAATTTTTTGCGAAAATTTTCATTGAGATCAGAATTGTTTTAATCTAATAAATGAATTCTTTCATTTTCGTAAATAAAAATTCATTTACATTCAAATTCTCTTCACGTCACTTTTCCTCATAATTTTTTTTATCAAAAATGAATAATAATCGTGAGATTTCCACTAAAATGGAAGGATTTATTTCAAGTTCTCCAGCTGAATTAACTACTCCTATTGTTAATTTCAAGAAGGACATTGAAAATCCTTTTCTAACAGACGATTTTAGAGGATCTATCAAATCACATCCTGATCCGAATCCTACAACAGATTTATTTTGTAAACCTGGATTAGAGATGTCAATCGTCGTTCCAGATAACACTCCTGTTATTCCTCAAAACAAATTAACTAATTTATCAACAATGTTTTCAAATCATACTTCATCAACAGCCTCTTTTGATACACCATTTTCTTGCATAGATTCGAATGATTTATTTGCCAAAGCTGATGCGAAACCGAACGAATTTCCTATAGGCGAGTACTGTCAACTTACAATACAATTTGACACGGTTGAAGCTGCATTTGAGGATGTAGAACCAGTTATTATTACTTCCTTCCTTTATTCTTTAGATTCCAAAAAAATCATATCGAATTCTTGGAAATTCTCTCCGAAAGGATCGGTTGGCATCTTACAAGCCAATCGTATTCCATTTTCATTCAAAAACGTAGCTACTTTCCAAATTGATCCTTTATTAAAAACCGAAAACATCTACTTCATGATTCTATTGTCTCATCCTACAACAGTTGAAAACTCCACCGAAATTATTAAATACTACAACACACCAAATGCTCAAACAAGGGCTGTTGCTCAAGCTCATCTCAAAACTACTTTTCCGAGAGTCAATAATTCTTATTCACAGTTCGCTTTCGGATTTATGGAATTAAATTCAATTATTAATGGTGATGATAAGTTCAAACTTTCAAAAATTTATTATGTTGATAATATCGATAGAGATAACATCTTTGAGAAGATCCAGGAATGTGTACAAGGCAAAGGCAAAATGATGCCAATCAATATCAACTTTATAAAACTACATAGTGTCGAAAATATTATACGTCCTAAGGTCTTAGCAAAGCCGCAACCATTCTTAGCGCCAAACCATCAAGTTTTCGTATCTCTTAAATCTGCAAACATCAAATCGAACGCGAGAAATATTCTTATAAAAATGACTATCAGAGATACGCAACACTCGCGTGAACTACCGCTTTTATGTAACCCATTGAGCCAGGATGCACTCGATACAGCCGTTTACTCCCATTGCGTTTACCACGAAAAAGCTCCGAAATTTATTGATGACTTTATTGTTGATTTGCCATTCCCTGTCCAACAGGAAGCCTACCTTGTGTTCGAGATCTTCCACGTTCACGCGAAAGTCTCTGACAAATCTGATACCCATATCGGCACAGGATCATTTAAACTCATAGACAAAGGGACAATTCAGACCGGCCGTCACATTGAAATTCCGATCACTTTAAATGGCGAAAAAGACAAGTCTTCTAAAGTTGAGATCTCGATTAAGAACAATTCCTGCTACCAATCGGATAATGCCAACATGAACAAGCTATTGAATGAAAAGGACCTCGAAAAGTACATCCCTCTCCTATCTCCAGAGTTAATTATCACAAATTTGACTTCAATTTTAAACATTTTCCTTGAAAAGATGGAAGAGAAGAGTGATGACTTCAATATTGATCTTTTAGCTAAAATCCAAGAAGCATCCGATACATGTAGCAATGTGCAATCATTTACGAAATATTTAGCAATATTTACAAAATATTTCGCATTGAAACAGAAAAATCCATTTAGAGGTGTCCGAAAAGAAACGAATATACAACTCACAGACTTTTCCAATGTGAATAATTCAGCATGTGCAACTGTTTTGTCTACACCTACTTCGCTAGGAAATCCAGATGATTTGTTGGACGCATTTTTAAGTTGTCCACCTTCTAATTTGGTTCCTGTATCAAATTCATTCCCTGTACAACAGGATTTACTAAATATGACTGAGAAGAAAGACTTAAATAATGTACACAACAAACTCATAAAAGGATTGAACAATTATTTGAACAAAAATGAATTGAAAAATATCATTTTGTTCACTGATTTCATTTTCTCTTCGATAATTAAATCAATGGCAACAACGAATGTCGTTGATTTTGATTCATTTGGTGATATGTGTACTAGTTTCTGTTCTGCAGCCATTCAAGTAAGAAGAGGAGAATGGAAACCGACACTTTCATACAGTTTATTCTGCCAAATGTTGTTTGATTTAGGATTTTTCAATGAAGCAAGTTTAGGCATTGAAACAATGCTGAAAATTCTAACAAGCAACAATGTTATCAATGATTCCTTATGCTCTTTTATTTGTTTCACTTTGAAACCTTCTTTCTTTTACATCACGATTGCCAACCATATTAATTTCAAGAAAGAATTTAACAACATGATTAAATTTTTGCTCGGACACAAAGATCAGAAAATTAATCATATAATAAGAAGAGTTTGCAGAGGAATCATCAAATGCTGTCAAACATATGAACCAAAGGTTGCTAGAGAAGTTTCTGATTGTTTATTACCTATTTTAATTGACTTGAATACGAACGCATTACCTCCAATGAATGAAGTTTATTCACTTTTGTCTTTGTTCATTTTCATTTTGAACAACATGACAGAAAGAGGACTTCAAGACCCATCAATCAACAGATTAAGTCTTTATGAAGTTGCTCATTATTTGTTGAACCACATCAATGAGAAACTTTTCACTAAAAACAAATCAAAACCAAAACCAGATTTGCAATGTTCTTCAAAAACAATAAGAAATGACATGTTTAGTTTACCACCACAAATTCCACAAATAAAGAAGAACAGAAGCCAAACAGATCTCAAGAAATTGTCAATAGATGGTGGAAGTTCAGCAACAGACAATGATGATGATTTGATTTCATTTAAAGAAGAAAATATTGATCCTTTGAATGAATTACATTCCGCGATTTTGAGTTTCATGAGAGTTTGTGTCGGTTCTCCAGTAGGTGATGTAAAACCAGATGGATTGATTAATTTGGTTTTCCACATGTGTTGTTCGAATCTAACTCTTGCTAATTTTGATAGATTATGTTCAATGACGAAATACATTTTCGATAAATTTTCTCCAGTTATATTTAACTGCTCAACACCTCCAATTGCAAGATTACTCCATTGTTTCTTCATTGTTTCCACCAAGAACTACAATAAACTTGATACAGTTGGTGGATTGTTTGTTAGTTTATTCAACAATGATTTAGAAAAATGCCATAATAATAACAGAAGTGCTGTTATTGCAATGAGATTTGTTTCATTGTTAACTCATCAAGAAATAATCAAAGAAGAAGTTGGAAGTTTCTTGGAAAAGATGAGTACGAGTTCTAACAATGCTTTGAGGAATTTCGCATTGACATTCATGAAAATCAGAAAGAACTCAATGAATTTGACATCTGAACAAGTTCATTTCGACAGAGTTCCTGAATTAATGATGGAAAGAGTTTTCCTGTTTAGAACATGTCCTGATCACATGTTAACCATTTTGGATGAAATTGCAAACTATCATTTGAACCAGGATATGAAAATGGAATACGTTTACACATTGATTCTTAAGATGGCAATTATCTTGGAATTCGGAGTTTTCATAGGCGAAATTCCAAATTTGTTTGGAACAAAACACTGCGCAAGTCAGTTTTTGAAGAATTTACCAATCGCTGAATCAATATACTGCCATGATGCTTTCATTAATGATATGCCGAAAGTTCCAGGATTCTGTGGAAATCCTTGTTTCTCACAGAGTGGCTTATTGGGAATAATGATTTCAACAAGCGAATACTGCCAAAAGAACCAACTTTTCGATGCCGCAACTTATTTGTATGACATTGCAATGCCTCTTTTGGAATACTCCAGATTGTATTCGATGTGTTCCCAGTTCCTTGGAATATTCTCCGGTTTGTTTAGAGCTGAAGCTGCAGCTCCAAGTATGAATTCCGATGTGATGCAAGACAGATATTTCAGAGTTATTTTAACAGGAAAAATCTTTGGCGAAGATGAAAACAAAGGTTATGTTTACCACGCTAACAGATTGACAAGAGTTTTCGATATCTCAAAACAAATTGTTGCTTCTTATAACCAGATCTATAATGGAAAGATTGATTTGCTTCAAGCATCTGCCGGACAAAGAGATCCAACAATGGGATACATAAATGTAACATTTATTGAGCCATATCACGATGATGATGACGAATTAAGTGTCGGACAAGTGAATTTAACTGATGAATTCTACTTCGACACACCTTTCGTTCCTAACTCAAACAAAGCACAAGGCACAGTTGAAACGCAATGGATCAGAAGGACAGTAATTAAAACTGCTCAGCCTTTGCCATGTCCATTGAGAAGAGTTCAAATTTTACCTGATCAAGAAAAAGTCATCGAATACGAACCAATCAAAGTCGCTTATAGACAAATCAGGAATAGAACTAAGTCTATCTTAAGTGCTATCAATGATTGCGACTACTTGACAATCCAGCAGTTACTTCATGGTTCTCTTTTAGCACAAGTTAACGAAGGACCTGCAAAAATTGCAGAAGTTTTCTTGCAGGGAGATTCTCCTTTGAGGCCAAAGATGAAGAAGGAATTCTTGCTTTTCTTGGACGCAAACGAGAAAGGTGTGAAGAAACATGCAGAATGGGTTGCTGATAATCAAGCATTCGTTGCTTTGCAAGTTCAACTGGAAGCAGGTATGGATGCATTACGCGAGAAATTAACACCTCTTCTTGAACTTGTTCAAGATTAATTATTTTATATCTTTTTTATTCTTATCTTAAAATGTTTCTATATAATGCAATATTTTTGGAATTTTTATATCTTGGCAATTTAATTTACGTCAAGACTGCCAATTTATATGTGATATTGTAAAATCTGATATATATGAAATAAATTCCATTTATGATATGAATATTTCAAATAAAAGGAAAATATGATATGAATATGCAATTATTTTGCATGTGCATATGTCATATGAGAGAAATGAAATTACTGCAAATCCATCACCGATATTGCCACGGGGAATAGAATAATCAGAAGATGATGGAGATGGATATGATTCATATCCGCTCTTAATGATTGTGGAACTGAAGAAAATTCCTGAGTAATGGATGCTTTGATTTGAGAGATGAATGGTATTTTGCGATGTTGATGTATTCAGAATCGCATTACATCCTTCATGTCCAGATATGAACGATGATCCTGAAGATCCTACTCCAACATGACAATTAGCCTTGGCACTTCCAGCACCGCCAAAATAGCTTCCGTTTCCACCAGAGGTATAACTTAGATCAACTTGAATGGGATCGCTACCGATCCCGAATTTTCCATCATCTGCTGAATATTCGTTGTTTCTCCCGCCTATTCCGCCATGCTCTTGTGTTGCGGCAAATGCCTTTACGGCAGGTTCTAGTGGAAAACATTCAGAATCAATTGTTAGAATTCCGTCAAATCCAGTCAGATTTCCACCGTGAGTTCCGGTGATATACCCTACATGTTTGTGGCCCCCTACACCCCCAGCAGCCACCATTATTCGGCTCTTTAGACTTTCAAAATTATTCCACTCATCAGCAACTAATCGGATGTCAGAGGAGCCACCGCTTGATCCAGCTTTTATAGAGCCTCGCCCACCACCATTAAATGTGCGAGGACCGTTTAATTTGCCTTGTTGACCAAGGTATACATACAGTGTCATTTCTTGGGAAACAGTTAAGTGGCCGCTGGTGTATGAACCGCGACCTGCAAGATTGGGATCATTGTTTGGGTAGCCGCCTGAGGCACCAAAAAGCTCAATTTTATAAATTCCGCGTGACAATCTAACAACATATGGTGTGCATACTTGTGTGCTGCTACTGCATGGATATCGAAGAATCTGATAATTATCTGATTTGTCATCAACGTTCCTTTGGCCTTTTGTTTCATCATATAAAGATACACTGATGCGTCCTGGCATAATATTTCACCTACCTTTAATCTTCTTGAATGTTTGTCGTCTTATTGAAGACGAAGATAAAATATGTCAAAAAGTGATGTATTGTAATTTTAAAATTCGTCCTTTTAAGGGTACACTTACGCCCATCTGACTTTAATTCAAATTTCTGACAACTGGCGTGAAGCGTCATTGAAATTCAACCTTAAACATCTGAACTGAATGTCATGTCAGATGGGCGTATGTGCACTCTTAATTTAAATTTTTTACTGCTCTTTGGGTTCCTCGAATCCGAAAACTTTTTGATAATTAAATTACAAAAGAAAATTTTAACTCAAAATGAAATAATGATTTCAAAGAATAGAAAGATATGAAATGAAAATGAGATGCATCGACATGTAAATAGTTCATATGGAAAGAAGGTAATAATAGCATAGCCATTACCAACATTACCTTTGGGTGTTGAATCATCCGAATAATAGGAATATAATTCGTATCCGCTCTTAATGATAGTAGAACTAAAAGAAATTCCTGAATAATGGATACTTTGGTTTGAGAGATGAATATCATCTTGCGATGTTGATGTATTCAGAATCGCATTACACCCACCATGTCCAGATATGAACGATGATCCTGAAGATCCTATTCCCACACAGCAAAGTCCTACAGAACTTCCAGCACCGCTAAAATATCCCCCACTTCCTCCTGATGGATATTTCTGGTTATTAGCAGGATTTCCACCAATTCCGAACTTTCCGTCTTCTCCAGAGATGGTATTGCTTTTTCCACTTATTCCGCCTCGTTCTTTGGTAGCTCCAAAAGCCTTCGAAACTTGTTCAGGAGGAGAGCAATTTGGATCATATGTTAAAATCCCATCAAATCCTGTCAGATTTCCACCATGAGTTCCAGTGTGAAAGTATGCATGTAGATGACCTCCAACGCCACCTGCTGCAACCATGATTCGGCTCTTAAGGCTTTCAAAATTACCCCACTGGCCTGGGGTCAATCGAATATCAGTAGAGCCACCGCTTGATCCAGCCTTTATAGAGCCTCGCCCACCACCATTAAATGTGCGAGGACCGTTTAATTTGCCTTGTTGACCAAGGTATACATACAGTGTCATTTCTTGGGAAACAGTTAAGTGGCCGCTGGTGTATGAACCGCGACCTGCAAGATTGGGATCATTGTTTGGGTAGCCGCCTGAGGCACCAAAAAGCTCAATTTTATAAATTCCGCGTGACAATCTAACAACATATGGTGTGCATACTTGTGTGCTGCTACTGCATGGATATCGAAGAATCTGATAATTATCTGATTTGTCATCAACGTTCCTTTGGCCTTTTGTTTCATCATATAAAGATACACTGATGCGTCCTGGCATAATATTTCACCTACCTTTAATCTTCTTGAATGTTTGTCGTCTTATTGAAGACGAAGATAAAATATGTCAAAAAGTGATGTATTGTAATTTTAAAATTCGTCCTTTTAAGGGTACACTTACGCCCATCTGACTTTAATTCAAATTTCTGACAACTGGCGTGAAGCGTCATTGAAATTCAACCTTAAACATCTGAACTGAATGTCATGTCAGATGGGCGTATGTGCACTCTTAATTTAAATTTTTTACTGCTCTTTGGGTTCCTCGAATCCGAAAACTTTTTGATAATTAAATTACAAAAGAAAATTTTAACTCAAAATGAAATAATGATTTCAAAGAATAGAAAGATATGAAATGAAAATGAGATGCATCGACATGTAAATAGTTCATATGGAAAGAAGGTAATAATAGCATAGCCATTACCAACATTACCTTTGGGTGTTGAATCATCCGAATAATAGGAATATAATTCGTATCCGCTCTTAATGATAGTAGAACTAAAAGAAATTCCTGAATAATGGATACTTTGGTTTGAGAGATGAATATCATCTTGCGATGTTGATGTATTCAGAATCGCATTACACCCACCATGTCCAGATATGAACGATGATCCTGAAGATCCTATTCCACACAGCAAAGTCCTACAGAACTTCCAGCACCGCTAAAATATCCCCCACTTCCTCCTGATGGATATTTCTGGTTATTAGCAGGATTTCCACCAATTCCGAACTTTCCGTCTTCTCCAGAGATGGTATTGCTTTTTCCACTTATTCCGCCTCGTTCTTTGGTAGCTCCAAAAGCCTTCGAAACTTGTTCAGGAGGAGAGCAATTTGGATCATATGTTAAAATCCCATCAAATCCTGTCAGATTTCCACCATGAGTTCCAGTGTGAAAGTATGCATGTAGATGACCTCCAACGCCACCTGCTGCAACCATGATTCGGCTCTTAAGGCTTTCAAAATTACCCCACTGGCCTGGGGTCAATCGAATATCAGTAGAGCCACCGCTTGATCCAGCCTTTATAGAGCCTCGCCCACCACCATTAAATGTGCGAGGACCGTTTAATTTGCCTTGTTGACCAAGGTATACATACAGTGTCATTTCTTGGGAAACAGTTAAGTGGCCGCTGGTGTATGAACGCGACCTGCAAGATTGGGATCATTGTTTGGGTAGCCGCCTGAGGCACCAAAAAGCTCAATTTTATAAATTCCGCGTGACAATCTAACAACATATGGTGTGCATACTTGTGTGCTGCTACTGCATGGATATCGAAGAATCTGATAATTATCTGATTTGTCATCAACGTTCCTTTGGCCTTTTGTTTCATCATATAAAGATACACTGATGCGTCCTGGCATAATATTTCACCTACCTTTAATCTTCTTGAATGTTTGTCGTCTTATTGAAGACGAAGATAAAATATGTCAAAAAGTGATGTATTGTAATTTTAAAATTCGTCCTTTTAAGGGTACACTTACGCCCATCTGACTTTAATTCAAATTTCTGACAACTGGCGTGAAGCGTCATTGAAATTCAACCTTAAACATCTGAACTGAATGTCATGTCAGATGGCGTATGTGCACTCTTAATTTAAATTTTTTACTGCTCTTTGGGTTCCTCGAATCCGAAAACTTTTTGATAATTAAATTACAAAAGAAAATTTTAACTCAAAATGAAATAATGATTTCAAAGAATAGAAAGATATGAAATGAAAATGAGATGCATCGACATGTAAATAGTTCATATGGAAAGAAGGTAATAATAGCATAGCCATTACCAACATTACTTTGGGTGTTGAATCATCCGAATAATAGGAATATAATTCGTATCCGCTCTTAATGATAGTAGAACTAAAAGAAATTCCTGAATAATGGATACTTTGGTTTGAGAGATGAATATCATCTTGCGATGTTGATGTATTCAGAATCGCATTACACCCACCATGTCCAGATATGAACGATGATCCTGAAGATCCTATTCCCACACAGCAAAGTCCTACAGAACTTCCAGCACCGCTAAAATATCCCCCACTTCCTCCTGATGGATATTTCTGGTTATTAGCAGGATTTCCACCAATTCCGAACTTTCCGTCTTCTCCAGAGATGGTATTGCTTTTTCCACTTATTCCGCCTCGTTCTTTGGTAGCTCCAAAAGCCTTCGAAACTTGTTCAGGAGGAGAGCAATTTGGATCATATGTTAAAATCCCATCAAATCCTGTCAGATTTCCACCATGAGTTCCAGTGTGAAAGTATGCATGTAGATGACCTCCAACGCCACCTGCTGCAACCATGATTCGGCTCTTAAGGCTTTCAAAATTACCCCACTGGCCTGGGGTCAATCGAATATCAGTAGAGCCACCGCTTGATCCAGCCTTTATAGAGCCTCGCCCACCACCATTAAATGTGCGAGGACCGTTTAATTTGCCTTGTTGACCAAGGTATACATACAGTGTCATTTCTTGGGAAACAGTTAAGTGGCCGCTGGTGTATGAACCGCGACCTGCAAGATTGGGATCATTGTTTGGGTAGCCGCCTGAGGCACCAAAAAGCTCAATTTTATAAATTCCGCGTGACAATCTAACAACATATGGTGTGCATACTTGTGTGCTGCTACTGCATGGATATCGAAGAATCTGATAATTATCTGATTTGTCATCAACGTTCCTTTGGCCTTTTGTTTCATCATATAAAGATACACTGATGCGTCCTGGCATAATATTTCACCTACCTTTAATCTTCTTGAATGTTTGTCGTCTTATTGAAGACGAAGATAAAATATGTCAAAAAGTGATGTATTGTAATTTTAAAATTCGTCCTTTTAAGGGTACACTTACGCCCATCTGACTTTAATTCAAATTTCTGACAACTGGCGTGAAGCGTCATTGAAATTCAACCTTAAACATCTGAACTGAATGTCATGTCAGATGGGCGTATGTGCACTCTTAATTTAAATTTTTTACTGCTCTTTGGGTTCCTCGAATCCGAAAACTTTTTGATAATTAAATTACAAAAGAAAATTTTAACTCAAAATGAAATAATGATTTCAAAGAATAGAAAGATATGAAATGAAAATGAGATGCATCGACATGTAAATAGTTCATATGGAAAGAAGGTAATAATAGCATAGCCATTACCAACATTACCTTTGGGTGTTGAATCATCCGAATAATAGGAATATAATTCGTATCCGCTCTTAATGATAGTAGAACTAAAAGAAATTCCTGAATAATGGATACTTTGGTTTGAGAGATGAATATCATCTTGCGATGTTGATGTATTCAGAATCGCATTACACCCACCATGTCCAGATATGAACGATGATCCTGAAGATCCTATTCCCACACAGCAAAGTCCTACAGAACTTCCAGCACCGCTAAAATATCCCCCACTTCCTCCTGATGGATATTTCTGGTTATTAGCAGGATTTCCACCAATTCCGAACTTTCCGTCTTCTCCAGAGATGGTATTGCTTTTTCCACTTATTCCGCCTCGTTCTTTGGTAGCTCCAAAAGCCTTCGAAACTTGTTCAGGAGGAGAGCAATTTGGATCATATGTTAAAATCCCATCAAATCCTGTCAGATTTCCACCATGAGTTCCAGTGTGAAAGTATGCATGTAGATGACCTCCAACGCCACCTGCTGCAACCATGATTCGGCTCTTAAGGCTTTCAAAATTACCCCACTGGCCTGGGGTCAATCGAATATCAGTAGAGCCACCGCTTGATCCAGCTTTTATAGAGCCTCGCCCACCACCATTAAATGTGCGAGGACCGTTTAATTTGCCTTGTTGACCAAGGTATACATACAGTGTCATTTCTTGGGAAACAGTTAAGTGGCCGCTGGTGTATGAACCGCGACCTGCAAGATTGGGATCATTGTTTGGGTAGCCGCCTGAGGCACCAAAAAGCTCAATTTTATAAATTCCGCGTGACAATCTAACAACATATGGTGTGCATACTTGTGCTGCTACTGCATGGATATCGAAGAATCTGATAATTATCTGATTTGTCATCAACGTTCCTTTGGCCTTTGTTTCATCATATAAAGATACACTGATGCGTCCTGGCATAATATTTCACCTACCTTTAATCTTCTTGAATGTTTGTCGTCTTATTGAAGACGAAGATAAAATATGTCAAAAAGTGATGTATTGTAATTTTAAAATTCGTCCTTTTAAGGGTACACTTACGCCCATCTGACTTTAATTCAAATTTCTGACAACTGGCGTGAAGCGTCATTGAAATTCAACCTTAAACATCTGAACTGAATGTCATGTCAGATGGGCGTATGTGCACTCTTAATTTAAATTTTTTACTGCTCTTTGGGTTCCTCGAATCCGAAAACTTTTTGATAATTAAATTACAAAAGAAAATTTTAACTCAAAATGAAATAATGATTTCAAAGAATAGAAAGATATGAAATGAAAATGAGATGCATCGACATGTAAATAGTTCATATGGAAAGAAGGTAATAATAGCATAGCCATTACCAACATTACCTTTGGGTGTTGAATCATCCGAATAATAGGAATATAATTCGTATCCGCTCTTAATGATAGTAGAACTAAAAGAAATTCCTGAATAATGGATACTTTGGTTTGAGAGATGAATGGTATTTTGCGATGTTGATGTATTCAGAATCGCATTACATCCTTCATGTCCAGATATGAACGATGATCCTGAAGATCCTACTCCAACATGACAATTAGCCTTGGCACTTCCAGCACCGCCAAAATAGCTTCCGTTTCCACCAGAGGTATAACTTAGATCAACTTGAATGGGATCCTACCGATCCGAATTTTCCATCATCTGCTGAATATTCGTTGTTTTCCCGCCTATTCCGCCATGCTCTTGTGTTGCGGCAAATGCCTTTCGGCAGGTTCTAGTGGAAAACATTCAGAATCAATTGTTAGAATTCCGTCAAATCCAGTCAGATTTCCACCGTGAGTTCCGGTGATATACTACATTTTGTGCCCCTACACCCAGCAGCCACCATTATTCGGCTCTTTAGACTTTCAAAATTATTCCACTCATCAGCAACTAATCGATGTCAGAGGAGCCACCGCTTGATCCAGCTTTTATAGAGCCTCGCCCACCACCATTAAATGTGCGAGGACCGTTTAATTTGCCTTGTTGACCAAGGTATACATACAGTGTCATTTCTTGGGAAACAGTTAAGTGGCCGCTGGTGTATGAACCGCGACCTGCAAGATTGGGATCATTGTTTGGGTAGCCGCCTGAGGCACCAAAAAGCTCAATTTTATAAATTCCGCGTGACAATCTAACAACATATGGTGTGCATACTTGTGTGCTGCTACTGCATGGATATCGAAGAATCTGATAATTATCTGATTGTCATCAACGTTCCTTTGGCCTTTTGTTTCATCATATAAAGATACACTGATGCGTCCTGGCAAATATTTCACCTACCTTTAATCTTCTTGAATGTTTGTCGTCTTATTGAAGACGAAGATAAAATATGTCAAAAAGTGATGTATTGTAATTTTAAAATTCGTCCTTTTAAGGGTACACTTACGCCCATCTGACTTTAATTCAAATTTCTGACAACTGGCGTGAAGCGTCATTGAAATTCAACCTTAAACATCTGAACTGAATGTCATGTCAGATGGGCGTATGTGCACTCTTAATTTAAATTTTTTACTGCTCTTTGGTTCCTCGAATCCGAAAACTTTTTGATAATTAAATTACAAAAGAAAATTTTAACTCAAAATGAAATAATGATTTCAAAGAATAGAAAGATATGAAATGAAAATGAGATGCATCGACATGTAAATAGTTCATATGGAAAGAAGGTAATAATAGCATAGCCATTACCAACATTACCTTTGGGTGTTGAATCATCCGAATAATAGGAATATAATTCGTATCCGCTCTTAATGATAGTAGAACTAAAAGAAATTCCTGAATAATGGATACTTTGGTTTGAGAGATGAATATCATCTTGCGATGTTGATGTATTCAGAATCGCATTACACCCACCATGTCCAGATATGAACGATGATCCTGAAGATCCTATTCCCACACAGCAAAGTCCTACAGAACTTCCAGCACCGCTAAAATATCCCCCACTTCCTCCTGATGGATATTTCTGTTATTAGCAGGATTTCCACCAATTCCGAACTTTCCGTCTTCTCCAGAGATGGTATTGCTTTTTCCACTTATTCCGCCTCGTTCTTTGGTAGCTCCAAAAGCCTTCGAAACTTGTTCAGGAGGAGAGCAATTTGGATCATATGTTAAAATCCCATCAAATCCTGTCAGATTTCCACCATGAGTTCCAGTGTGAAAGTATGCATGTAGATGACCTCCAACGCCACCTGCTGCAACCATGATTCGGCTCTTAAGGCTTTCAAAATTACCCCACTGCCTGGGTCAATCGAATATCAGTAGAGCCACCGCTTGATCCAGCTTTTATAGAGCCTCGCCCACCACCATTAAATGTGCGAGGACCGTTTAATTTGCCTTGTTGACCAAGGTATACATACAGTGTCATTTCTTGGGAAACAGTTAAGTGGCCGCTGGTGTATGAACCGCGACCTGCAAGATTGGGATCATTGTTTGGGTAGCCGCCTGAGGCACCAAAAAGCTCAATTTTATAAATTCCGCGTGACAATCTAACAACATATGGTGTGCATACTTGTGTGCTGCTACTGCATGGATATCGAAGAATCTGATAATTATCTGATTTGTCATCAACGTTCCTTTGGCCTTTTGTTTCATCATATAAAGATACACTGATGCGTCCTGGCATAATATTTCACCTACCTTTAATCTTCTTGAATGTTTGTCGTCTTATTGAAGACGAAGATAAAATATGTCAAAAAGTGATGTATTGTAATTTTAAAATTCGTCCTTTTAAGGGTACACTTACGCCCATCTGACTTTAATTCAAATTTCTGACAACTGGCGTGAAGCGTCATTGAAATTCAACCTTAAAACATCTGAACTGAATGTCATGTCAGATGGGCGTATGTGCACTCTTAATTTAAATTTTTTACTGCTCTTTGGGTTCCTCGAATCCGAAAACTTTTTGATAATTAAATTACAAAAGAAAATTTTAACTCAAAATGAAATAATGATTTCAAAGAATAGAAAGATATGAAATGAAAATGAGATGCATCGACATGTAAATAGTTCATATGGAAAGAAGGTAATAATAGCATAGCCATTACCAACATTACCTTTGGGTGTTGAATCATCCGAATAATAGGAATATAATTCGTATCCGCTCTTAATGATAGTAGAACTAAAAGAAATTCCTGAATAATGGATACTTTGGTTTGAGAGATGAATATCATCTTGCGATGTTGATGTATTCAGAATCGCATTACACCCACCATGTCCAGATATGAACGATGATCCTGAAGATCCTATTCCCACACAGCAAAGTCCTACAGAACTTCCAGCACCGCTAAAATATCCCCCACTTTAGTGATGCGAAAAATTCCCAAACATATGGGGTTTCTCATATCCCGTCCCCTATCGTTTCCCCAATTCAATTTTTTTTGGAATTTTATTTTTTTTCCCGCCCATTTGAATTAAAAATGGGCGATTTTCGTTAATGTGATTGAAATATCATAAAATTAATACGTATTTTAGCTAATAATTCTATTTTTATACAATATTCTCTCATTAAATCAACATTTTTTTCTAATTTTAATTTTTAATTTTTAATTTCTTCATAATTTTAGCGATTTATGCTCATTATTAGCAAATAAATAATATATATAATATACTTATTTCATTTTATTCAGATAGGTCTTTGGGATTGGGATACCTTGTCCAAATTCAGAGGAAGTTTGAGAGGTTGGGATGGGGTAGCCCATATTCAATTATCCCAAGTGTACTCCACGAATTTAAAATTATATTATATTATTGATGACATATCTAAATTTATAGATAAAAATTTCAATGCGTACACAATTTTTTTGAGAAAATTCTTTTTTTTTACTTATTTTCATTCATAAAAGCTCACGTGAACTTAATTAACAACTGAGACATTTCCTATGAAATCATTTAATGCCGTCAAAATAGACATGTCTAAGCTGTTTTGAGTGACTTTCGCTCGATGTCTGATGCAATATCAGACATCGAGCGAAAGTCTCTCATATTGGCAACACATCCATACGATCAATACTATAGCTACGAATTACAAGCCTGTTTGGGCAATTTTTGGCCGAGTTCTGATTTTTCATTAGATCTCGAGCGAAAGTCTCTCAAATTGGCTGCCAGTTCATAAGAGTGAAACTCTAGCTACGAATTAGAAGCTTGCTTGAGAGACTCTCGCTCGCGTTGGATCTGCATCAGAACTCGAGCGAAAGCCTCTCAAAGTGGTAAATGCTCATTGTTGAGCAGGAGCTGCGTAATGTGTTCGAGCAGAGTGAGCTCTTCTAAGATCTTCCTTGTGATTGAAGAAATTAGAAGAGTCTCACTCTCTATTTTGTAATTGTATGCCTTTGAGTGACCAGGGCTGCGTAATGTGTTCGAGCAGAGTGAGGCTCTTCTAAGATCTTCCTTGTGATTGGAAGAAATTAGAAGAGTCTCACTCTACTATTTTGTAATTGTATGCCCTGGCCTTTGAGTGACCAGGGCTGCGTAATGTGTTCGAGTAGAGTGAGGCTCTTCTAAGATCTTCCTTGTGATTGGAAGAAATTAGAAGAGTCTCACTCTACTATTTTGTAATTGTATGCCCTGGCCTTTGAGTGACCAGGGCTGCGTAATGTGTTCGAGCAGAGTGAGGCTCTTCTAAGATCTTCCTTGTGATTGGAAGAAATTAGAAGAGTCTCACTCTACTATTTTGTAATTGTATGCCCCGGCCTTTGAGTGACCAGGGCTGCGTAATGTGTTCGAGTAGAGTGAGGCTCTTCTAAGATCTTCCTTGTGATTGGAAGAAATTAGAAGAGTCTCACTCTACTATTTTGTAATTGTATGCCCCGGCCTTTGAGTGACCAGGGCTGCGTAATGTGTTCGAGCAGAGTGAGGCTCTTCTAAGATCTTCCTTGTGATTGGAAGAAATTAGAAGAGTCTCACTCTACTATTTTGTAATTGTATGCCCTGGCCTTTGAGTGACCAGGGCTGCGTAATGTGTTCGAGCAGAGTGAGGCTCTTCTAAGATCTTCCTTGTGATTGGAAGAAATTAGAAGAGTCTCACTCTACTATTTTGTAATTGTATGCCCCGGCCTTTGAGTGACCAGGGCTGCGTAATGAATTCGAGTAGGATTGTACAATAGCTCGGCAAACGCCGAGCAAATTGATATAAACGTACATCCCACAAAAAATGGATTGTCAAAATTTATCCCAAATTTTACAAAACCGCAGCGGTTATGACATCCCAGGGCTAAAAAAATTCGGAAACTCGCATCTCTACCCCACTTCCTCCTGATGGATATTTCTGGTTATTAGCAGGATTTCCACCAATTCCGAACTTTCCGTCTTCTCCAGAGATGGTATTGCTTTTTCCACTTATTCCGCCTCGTTCTTTGGTAGCTCCAAAAGCCTTCGAAACTTGTTCAGGAGGAGAGCAATTTGGATCATATGTTAAAATCCCATCAAATCCTGTCAGATTTCCACCATGAGTTCCAGTGTGAAAGTATGCATGTAGATGACCTCCAACGCCACCTGCTGCAACCATGATTCGGCTCTTAAGGCTTTCAAAATTACCCCACTGGCCTGGGGTCAATCGAATATCAGTAGAGCCACCGCTTGATCCAGCTTTTATAGAGCCTCGCCCACCACCATTAAATGTGCGAGGACCGTTTAATTTGCCTTGTTGACCAAGGTATACATACAGTGTCATTTCTTGGGAAACAGTTAAGTGGCCGCTGGTGTATGAACCGCGACCTGCAAGATTGGGATCATTGTTTGGGTAGCCGCCTGAGGCACCAAAAAGCTCAATTTTATAAATTCCGCGTGACAATCTAACAACATATGGTGTGCATACTTGTGTGCTGCTACTGCATGGATATCGAAGAATCTGATAATTATCTGATTTGTCATCAACGTTCCTTTGGCCTTTTGTTTCATCATATAAAGATACACTGATACGTCCTGGCATAATATTTCACCTACCTGGAATCTTCTTGAATGTTTGTCGTCTTAATGAAGGCGAAGAAAAAAATTGTAAAAAGGTGACATAAAGATTTAAAAAATAGTCGTATTTTAATCAAAAATCAGAAAAACCTCATTATAATCAATATTAATAAAGGTATATTGTGATATAATTTCTATGTGAATGTTGGATTACAATTATAAAATCTGATTAAGTTTAATTGGATAGAATATTTGTTTTAGGTACTGCTAAGAAAAATCTCAAATAAGAGAAAAATATGAAGTGGATATGTAATTACCCTGTAAGTGCATAAGTCATGTGGGATAAAAGATATAACTGCAAAGCCATTTCTGATATTGCCACGAGGAATAGGATAATCATATGATGGTGGAGATGGATAAGATTCATATCAGCTCTTAATGATTGTAGAACTGAATTTGATCCCTGAATAATGGATATTTTGGTTGGAGAGATGAATATTATCTTGAGATGTTGATGTGTTCAGAATCGCATTGCACCCTTTATGTCCAGATATGAACGACGATCCTGAAGATCCTATTCCAACATGGCATCTCGATATTGAACTTCCGGCCCCACCAAAATATCCCCCGCTTCCACCAGAGGTATAATCAGAGGGAACTGGATCTCCGGCAGTCCCAAACTTTCCATCCTTTCCAGAGGCGCTCTCCCCAATTCCTCCTATTCCGCCACGATTTCGTGTTGCCCCATACGCCTGTTTCAGTGGCCCTATAGGATTACAACTTGGATCAGATGTCAAAATTCCGTCAACACCAGTCAGATTTCCACCATGTGTTCCGGTATAAAAATATGCGTGGAGATGGCCTCCAACTCCACCTGCCGCAACCATGATGCGACTCTTAAGGCTCTCGAAATTATCCCACTGGTCTGCAATCAATCGGATGTCAGAAGAACCGCCTCCCGAACCTGCATTTGCAGAGCCTCGCCCGCCGCCATTAAACGTTCGGGGACCATTCAATTTTCCTTGTTGACCAAGGTAAACATAGAGTTTCATATCATGATCAACAACTAAGTTGCCTTTCGTATAAGAGCCGTGACCCCCAAGTTTAGGATCATTGTTTGGGAAGCCGCCTGAGGCACCAAAGAGCTCAAGCTGATATGTTCCGCGTGACAGACTGACAACGTATGGAGTGCACGTCTGAATTGAGCTACTACAAGGGTAACGAAGAATTTTATAATTATCAGAATTTTCTTCAACGTTTCTTTGGCCTCTATTTTTTTCATATAAGGATACACTTATACGTTCTGGCATGTTGCTTCATTTAATATTTTAAAAGTATCGAATCCCTTTTAAAATACAGCATTTTAATTGGAAATGAAAAGTGACGCATATAAAGAATCATTGTATTGATATGAAACTATATGAAAAGCAGACTTTTTTTTTCGTACACCCTCTCAATTTTTTTTCCAGTTTTCGTACTCATATGGTATTATTAGTTTATAATAATCATAGAGCTTTCGCTATACTGCAGCATTAAAATATAGCTGCATTGTGATTATCTCCTTGAATTTGAGAGGATTTTAAGTTTAATGTCAAGATAATCTCAATTGAATTTAGCATGGAAGCAATATATTTACTATCGTATGATTGCTCATGATAGACCTGTACTTGTTTTACATTAATTTACGAAATCTAATCAAAATACCGTATCACAGGAAGTTGAATAATAATAACTTTTTAAAAATTGTGTTTTTATATGGTTGGGATTGGTAATCTTTATAATTATGCGTGGGTGCTCTATGTTTGCTCAGAAATATGAAATATAATCAAGATTGAAGTTTGAATATAATTAAATGAGTGTAAATAAGTTAATAAAAGCATTTGTTGCATACTATATGTCTAGGTTCCTGCAAGTACGTACTCAGATCGGGATAATCTCTCACTTTTGTTCCGCAATGTGACATTGGGAACAAAGTTTCCGATCTGAGTACATATTTGCAGGGTCTTGCAATGGCACCCTGCAAGTACGTACTCAGATCGGGAGAATCTCTCACTTTTGTTCTGCAATGTGACATTAGACTTTTGATTCCCGAAAGGAGTTTACATTTGCAATATACTGTCATATTATATTGCAATTATAAACCCCTTTCGAAGAAAGCAGATTTTTTCATATCTCAATGTTGCATTAGAAATCAGATTATCGAAAGGAGGGTACGAGTACAATGTTATACCATATAATATTTCAATCGTAAACTCCTTTCTAAAGTATCTTCTTTACAATATAATCTAATTTTCTCATTCTTCTTTAAACTAGTAAATTTTATTCACAATTTAATCTAAATCATAAATCTTCATGTTTTGCAGAAACGTTTTTTAAAACAAATCGTTTTTTCTTATCAAATTTTATATTTTTTCTTTTTATTTTCAGTTTTTTGAATTTTTTTTGGAAATTTTTATCCAATTTCAATGTAATTTAATTCTCTTTCATATGTATTATAATTTTATTCATCTTTAAATTTTTAATTTTTGAATACATGCGATAATTATTCATTCAATTTTTAAATGAATGTTTTGATGGGGCGAGCTTACTGATAATAGACTCATCCCATCAAAACATTCCCTTGAAAACTCTGGCCTTCATTGAGGCCAGAGCTCACAATTGATCTCCTCAGAGCCAAGTTCCTCGACGGTCGTCCTCATTAGATTCGATCCGAGAGGAACTTGGCTCTGAATGAAATTCATAGGCTCTGGTCTCAGGAAATGCCAGAGCTTCGCAAACAATCCTTGGGGCTGGTTCCCTCAAAGACCGCCCTGATTCGGGGCGGCCGGAGAGGAACCCAGTCCCAAAAGAGCGCCCATACGAAGCTCTGGCCTTAGCAGTGGCCAGAGCCTGCAAATACAATCCTCAGGGCCGAATTTGAGGGAGATCGTCAACATCATTGACGATCTCCCTCAAATTCAGCCCTGAAAGAAAGAAATACACAGATTCTAGCCTCAGAAAAGGCCAGAACTTCGCTCACAGTCCCCAGGGCCGGCTTTCCCAAATGCCGCTCTGACCCCGGGCGGCAGGCGAGGAATCTGGCCCTGGGATACTTACCAAACGAAGTTCTGGCCACAGTAAAGGCCAGAACCTGCAAGATCAATCCTCAGGGCCGATTTTGAGGGAGATCGCCCACATTATTGGCGATCTCCTCTCATATCGGTCCTGAAAGACTTCAAAATACAGGCTCTGGCTTTAGCAGAGACCAGGGCTTCGTTTACAGTCCTCAGAGCCGAGTTCCCTGAGATTGTCCAGATCACGGACACTTCTCAGCGGAACTCGGCTCTGAGAAGCAACAAACACTAAGCTCTGGCCTCAGCAAAGGTTCAGGGCTTCGCTTACAGTCCTCAGGGCCGGATTTCCCAAATGCCGTCCTGATCTAGGGCGATAGGAGAGGAATCCGACCCTGGGAAACAGCAAACCTGAATTTCTGGCCTCAACATATGTCAGAGCCTGCAATACTAATCCTCAGGGCCGAGTTTGAGGGAGATCGCCAACATCAATGACGATATCCTCTTATCTCGGCCCTGAAAGACATACAGATACAGGTTCTGACCATTGTTGAGGTCAGGGCATCACTATAAATGGCAGTTTTTCTATGTTCTTTCATTTTCTGAAAGATCATAGTGAAAAGACTCTCTGATGCTTTATTGTTTCAAAATAGTACATGCGTGAGATTATAATTTTGCAGCAAATTTATTGATTGCATGCAAATATTTGATCTCAATAATTCAAACATGCAAATTTAGGGTTTACCCGTTACAAATAAAATATTTGCTTAACAGAACTCTATTTATAATGAATAAACACTCTTTTTTATATAATAAAATATTTATTTCATCATCAATGATAATTGAGTAAATTTATAACAATAAATGTATTTACAATAACAAGTACATATCATTCTCATATATCTTCAAAACTCTATTTTAAAAAAGATGCCTAATTGCATATGCAATAAAAATCAAATTTTATAGATTAACACATTGAAATTGTACTTTGCACAAAACAGTATGCTTGTACTAGTAAAATCTTTTAAACAATTGTAAATAATCAAATATGATATTTGATGTGATATATGTCTAGACCAGAGATTGAAATATGAACAGGAGAAAGACAAGTTCTGATCATAGGCAAACATTGGACATCAAATACTATGCTCTATATAAAAGTACGAAAACTGGAAAAAAAATTGAGAGGGGGTACGAAAAAAAAAGTCTGCTTTTCGTATCGACTCTATTGATATGAATTCATGTAAAGAATTTGAAAAAGTTTCGTCTGTTTTATTTAATTTATATGGAATTCAATTTATATGGAAAATAGATTTGACTTTTTTTTTAACAAACAAACATTTTATTTAATAAACTCTAAATAAATAAAATAAAAAGTATGATTATATCCAAGGAATGACTGTTTTGTCATTAATGTTCACTGCAGCAGAGATGACCTTTCCTGCCTCGTCAAGAGCTTCATTTGGTTGCTTCATTTCGAGTGGAGAGAACTTTGAAAGTTCAGAAATTCTAGTTGCAGAAACATCTCTTTCTTCGTTGAATATTTCTTCAATGAAGAACAAGACTTTCTCTCTATTTCTGCATATTGCATCACTTGCGCACAAAATGGAGTTCCTGAATGGACCTCTCAACACTATATCATCGAAATATTGTTTGATTCTTCCAACCAATCTCGGTAATTTAATTTCCGAGTATTCTACATCAGAAATAGCGAATTTTGAGTCTTCGCCATCAACAAACAGATTCAGAGGAGAAGGAATTCCTCCGCCAATCAATATTTGGTTGACGAAAAGAGCGGCGTATCTTGATCCAACAGTATTGAACCAAAACGCGTGACTTTCTTTTGTGATTTTTGTGAATTGTTTCTTGTTTGTTTCTGTTGTTTTCTCTTCATTCATTGAGATTAAGTCGGAGTAATTGAATAATGGAGAAAGTGAAGTCAACGATAGATAAAAACCGTTTTTGAGGTCAACAGAATCGATTGAATTCAAAAGAATTCCAGAGTTATTTGTTCCAGGCATTTTAGAGAAAATTCTATTAATGAATTTCGTGAAATAAGAAAGTCTTAGAGACATGTATTTGTAAGGACTCAATGAGTAGTAAACATTGTTTCCGCTTGAAGTAGTAATCCTGATTTTGATGTCGCAATCATCGTCTTTTTCTACAAAAAGTGACAAAGAATAAGATAAATCATTTGTTTTGACCATTGGAATTGTTTTTCCTTCAATGAGTTGTGACATAATTGGCTGGCTCTCAATTGAGTCTAAAGCAGGAGATTCGTTTGATTTTTCTTCTTTTGTACCTTTAATTTTCTCAATTTCGGTTTCTGCGAATTGTAAAGCTTGCAATTGCGACTGGCAAATCAAAGAATTACAAACTCTAAAAACAGAAGAAAGGAAAGCATCTTTTTGGTAATTTTCTGATATATTAAATACAAAATTAAAACTGTTGTGTATCAATGGTTTCAAATTCTGCAAATTCTCGTTCTGTTGGATTATTTCAGCCATCATCAATGAAATTTCATAAGGAATAGGAGTTCCGCTCAAAATCTTCTTGATCGGTTCACTTTTGTCACTTTTATCGTCTAAGAAAAGAAGATAAGGTAAAATTGATTCTGGTTTTGATTTAATCAATGCTGCTGCAGCTTTGTCAACTGTTTCTGGCGATAATTTCGACATTTTTGTGACAATGAAAACTGTTGACAAACTCTGTTGATTTTTGACTAAATTTGGAAGTTCTGACAATTTTGGCAAATCAATTGTCACTTTTTCATGTAAAGTGATTGATTTATTAAGAGATTTCATGTGTTTCATATCAATCTTCTCAGCATCATTTACAGTGAACTTCTGGCAAGTCAAATCTCTGACATCTTTGTAATATTTGTGTAAGTGAGGTGATATGTAACTATTCAATTTAAATTTGAAAGCCACGAAACCATTTGAGTGTTTCTTCAATGCCTCTACAATTCTCTTGATTTCGTGGACAATCATGTACTCAGATAATCCCTTCACTGTTGCGTTTTCTTTCAAACAATCCGTGTGATTAAATATTCCACTCAATTTCTGTTCAATTTGTGTTTCTTGTGAAATCAAACTCAAAATGTATCTATCACCAATTTTAAGATTATCAATGATCTCTCTGCCTCTCTCGTTGTTCATCTTGTCATCAATTTCATGTAACATGTAATTTGAATATCCTATTTTTGACAAAATAATCAAGTTTGGCAAATTATTTTGTAAATCATTCAAATTTGGAAAATCTGACAAAATTCTTAAATCTACTTCACTTTTCTCTGAATCGAATAAAGTGTTGATTCCAAACTGTAAAGTGAAGTCAAATGATTTGTCACTTTTCATGATTTGAAGTGATTTTCTAGGTAATTCGTAATTTCTATTTATAAATGGCGAAATCGAGATCAAATCTTTCTTCATTATCTTTGAGAGAATTACGGAGAAAGCTGGTCCTGGAATAGACATTTTTGCACATGTCAAAAGTAATTGTTCGAAATTGACAGACTTTAATAGTTCTAAACATTTATCTGTCACGTTTCTGTGATTTGACAAAACAATTAAAGATTCCAAAGGAAGTTCTTGAACAATGTGATCAGGGAGTTTTCCTCTGTCGAACAATGCCTGAGATAAACTTGTGTTCTTTAGCAAATCAATGAACTTCTTTCTCAAACTCATTTCTTTCGGAATGTGCAACAAAATGAATTCCATCAAGAAACCACTGATTTTGTAATCTTTTGTATCACTTGCATTAGCAAGAATTGATGACAAATACTGCAAAACAACTCTGTGGTTCAATGACAAAATCAAGTAGGAAATGGAGTAAACAATCGATCCATTCGTCGCCAAATCATTCATGTAACTCTTGATGATTGACAAACCGTTTTCAACCGCTGGCATAATTTTGTGGATGTGAGGTTTATTGTATCCGAAATACAAAGTGAAACAATGTCCGAAAGAATCAGTACTAAACAACGGTTTCACTTTTTCGAATACTTTATCATGCCATCTGAAACTCTTAAGTATTTTAGAGAGGCATTGAACAGCTTGTGGCCAAAGAATTTGATCTTTCGATTTAAGTGTTTCAATGAATATTTCTATGGCCAAATCAAGTTGTGCGTATTCTGTGTTTTGAACAACACCAGAAACAATGTCTTTCATGTTCGAATACAATATCTCCATGACAACAGAAAGAGTCTTCGATTTCTGCTGTGGATTCTCTTTCGATTTGTTCGAATAGAAAGTAAATTGTTCAAATACTTTAACAGGTAATGATGATGTTGGGAAAAGTGACACAAATTTGCCAATAAATGACAAAAATTCAGAGAATTCATTTCTGTACTTAAATGTTACATCGATTGTCTCTGTTATTATCTTGAAGAGAGCATTTCCGATGTTATTTAAGTGCATCTGGAGAGATTGAAGAGTTTTTTCATTCAATCCTTTTGGTTTTATCATATTTATTATGTCAGTTAATGTAGAAATGAAAGAGAGCAAAGTGTGTTTTCTGTTGGAGTTCTCGTGTGTTTTGATATTTGACTCAATCACTTTGATCTTCTCTTGTACAGGAAGAAGGAATGTCAATGTTGGATGCTCGAAATAATCAGCATTCCTTGAAACTAAGTTCAAAAGAATTGATTGTATTGAATGACATCTTAAATACTTCAAAAAGTTGTCCAATAAAATACTTGAAATGGAGTTTTGATTCACGGAATTTGGAATAATTAAATTGGATATCGCGTTCTTTACACGTGAATCAGGATGAACGTGTAAGTAATCCATCAAGTTCCTGAACAAAACAACAAAATCTTTTTCTGATTTTGATGAAGACCAAAACAGTAACAATTCAATTTTTTCATCGTCATTTTGACATTGATCGTAAATTTCAAGGAAATCAAATTGTTCGTAATCAATATTAAACTTAAGTTTGATTAATACATTAAATAGAGGTAAAGAATACTTGAGCTCAAACTCAGAAGAGGTGTATTCAATGAAATCAGGAACTAAGTCTTTTCTTCGTTGCAAAATCGTCATTGAAATCAATTCATATAAATTACGGTTGACGATTAAATTATCAGTCGGTTTTGTAAACTTAAGGAAGTCACCTTTGAACATAGAGAAATCAGCAGCGTTTTCAAGTGCATGCAAATAAGTTGATGACAAAATTGGCTCCGAATAAGTGAAAATGTGATTAATTGACAAATATTTTTCTGTGAAATGTTTTGCCAAATATTCACTTAATTTAAGTAAAAATGGGCCATCAAACAACTCTATTTTCGTGTTGATGAAAGAGCAGTTTGATTCATATATTTCGAAGAATTTCTCAATGACATTTTCGTTCTCAGAAATAAGCGGCAATTTCATCAAAAGTAAAACTAAGAAAATTTGACGTCTGTCATTTTTCTCTTTTTCATTCAAAATTTCCAAAATCGAGTCCATATTTTCCAATAAGAATGAAGAAGCCATATCAATGAATGCCTTGTTATCAGCTAATTTAACAAGTACCTCTAATAAACTGTCACTTTTCAGACAATCTTTCAAAATATCTTTGAAACCAACAATGTTTGAAATCAAGAAATTTGACATGGCAGAAATATTTCTTGGGAATTGTAAAATTGGTATTTCTGCCAACAGTTTAAGAAGAGCTTTTCCTAGTTTCTTAAATTGTCTTGTATCACTTGACAACTTGTTAACAAACCCTGTTTGACAAAGTTCGTACAAGCAAGAGATATTTTCAAGTAAATCCATTGTTGGCAAATCCTGAATGTTTTTGACAGCTTCAGGTAACAAATCCAAGTATTTGAACATGAGATCAATGAACATTTGAGAGTTGTAGAACAAGAAAGTGAATAGTTCTGAAGAAACCAATTTCCAATTTATGTTCATGAACTCGTTTATTGTGTTAACAACAGGGAATTTCCTTTCTTTCATGAATATCGATGCTGTTCTTGTTATTTCATTCTTCGCTTTCGCATCACCATTCTTGAAAAGTGCTCTGATTATTAATTGGCACTGGCATTTGATGAAAGATGTTGGTCTATCCAAGTTTTGGAGAGCGATTTTGAGGATTGGAGTGATATCTGTTATATCATTACTTTGTTCTAATATAGGAATAAGTAAAACTAAGAAAGTTGTTTGGTATTTTTTGTCTTTTTCAAGGATTTTTTCGAGTTTTGGAGTAATTATCTGTTGAACTTTTCCAGATAATTGGTTGTAACTCTGTGGGAATGATCTAAACAATGTTCCAGATGTTCTAAACAACTTCAAGTCGTCGTCCTTCGCTTCATCCAAGAAATCCCTTATGAAATCAATGATTTCCTGTGTACGCTGGCATTCACTCAACATTTCACTCAAAACTAAATTTGAAATAAAACCGTTAGTGGTTTTAATTTCTTGTAATAACGGATAAACATCAGTTATTTGGTCCTTCATCATTTGTCTCACGAAGTAAATGATCTTTTGGATTCGTTTCGGAAGCAAATCCAATTCAATGAAATTCATTAATCCGTCAATTTTTTGACTTTCTTTCCATGAATTCGAGTTTATCACAGAAATCATGTTATTTACAAGCAAAGCAAATGTTGATGCTTGTATCATGTCTTTGTCTACGTTATTCATGATGATTTCGCAAATGTCAATTGCGACAAAAGGTGACAAAAGTGATTTTGACAACACGAAAAATGAAATTTCTTCCATGAAATTCTTCATTTTTTCTTTTTCCGAAATTTGAGAGAAAATTTTAGATAACAAGTGTAGTTCAGGTGTCTTGTAATTAGTCAAATAAGACAAGAGGAATATAGCAATAACTGATGGTTTCCTGTTTTCTTTGATATTGAATTTGATGTCAAATAATTCAAACAAATATTTCTTCAAACAATTAAAAGCTTCTGAAAAACTCTTCAGCAAATAAATCTTGTATTCGCATGTATAGCATTCGTCATCAACTTCTATCATCTTGCATATCAATTCCTTAAGAAAATCAAATGTGTCTTGGCTGTCACTTTTTTCAACACCTTTATATAAACTTTCAAACAAATTTTTCAAATCATAATCAAACGTCAATTGTTTTGTTGATTTATCTATAAAGAACTGTATAAGTTTCTCATTATTAATAAACGGTTTTGTGTCAATTTTTGGTGTCAATTTTTCTTGAGGAATATGATGCAAAAACTTCATTAACAATTTTTTGTTTTCACCTGTTGTTGAATCCAAATTTGCGAAAATGTAGTCGACGAAATTCTGCAAATCCAAGTTAGGTCTGATGAATATCTTCTTATCCATCTTATACAGATTGTGCATCATCTTCAATGACTCTGTTTTACAATGACAAACCGTTTTGATCAAACAATTAAATATAGGAACAATTGGTCTTCCAACTAATTTGTTTGTTTGTGAAATGATGTATTCGACCAAAAGAATTGATGATTTGGGAGTAATAGCAATCGTATCACATAATTCACTAATATCCCCAATGTCATAATATTTCGAGGCCGATAATAAAAGTGACAAACCGTCAAAAGCGAACTTTTCATTTTGTAAAAGTTCTTTTACTTTTTGACAGATTTTATTGACAGATTGGATTATTGAATCATGGTATTCCTGGTCCTGGTTCTGCATTGGTTTATCAGGGTTTTTAGTTTTAAGAAACACTTTTTCGAACAAAAACCTGATATTTTGGATTAATTTCAAAAGTTGGTATGAGTTATTCCAATGTTCTGAGAAGTACCTTTGTAAATACTTCATAAACACTGAGAAAGCAACGTAACTTTGGTACATTGCCCTGAATAAACATGAATCAAATTGTATTGGTGGCTCTTGGTTGAAGAAAAGTTCAATTAGATTGGGCCATATGTATTCTAATAGGACAGGTGTTGTACTTTGGATGGAGTTGATCAGTGCTGTTGATATGTCTTGGTGGAAATTGCAGATCATTATCCAAAGTTTTACGTTTTTCTGGTTTTCGGCAATGGAATCTATATTGGCTTCCGTGTCTGATGATGGTGAATAGGTCTTGTTGGTGTCCAACATTTGTAATGATTTACGATTTCGGATAATTATCATGCAGAGACGGACAAAGATTTTCGTAATCATTTCTACGGTGAATGAGTTGATGTTGGCATCAAGGAAGGCTGTAACTGGCTTGGATAACTGGAGATTCTTTGTTTGGGTTATATGTAAGAAACTGTCAAAGCATTTGACAATGGTATTGATGTTTTCCATCGATTGGTGAAGTAATGTGAAGGAGTCTTTGTATTCTGGACTCTCATAATCTTGATTCAAAACTAAATCTGATGCATTGATAAAAGCAGAGTCACATTCCATCAGTTCAAGGTGTAGAGAGTAGAAAAACACTTCAACGAGGGAGGATCGTAATGTTCCTTCTGATGGAATTTTGACTAACGGCAATAATTGGTAGAAATTTCCGTTCCTAGCTCTAAACGGCTGTTGCTGGAATTGTATAACGGATGATGTGAATTTGCAGAACTGAGTAATGAACATTGGCTTTGTTTTTTGTTGTTTAATTAAAGTTTCTGCCAAAAGGTGGGCGAAATTGACGAAATACGCCAAAGAATCCGATGTAATGTTCTTAAACTCGTACGTACAATTGATTAAACGAGGGATATTCTCTTGTTTTTCGATTTCATAGCGTAAAACTTGGTTTGAAGATTGAAAAAAGTCTTCAATAAGGGAAGCGAAATATGGAGAAATCATGGATATGAGGTTTAGCATGGAATTGACGATTGTATTGTTGTCAAATTCTGGAATTTGAGTATTGTAGAGTGAAAAGCCCATTTTCATTAAAATCGATAGATGTGAGATATTGTATACTGTTGAGTTGCTAAGGTTTACAGGTTTCGAGATGGTTTCATAGAAAACTTTAAGAGTTTTTAAGAATTCCGCTCGAGTTCTTTCAGAAATCTTCCCGCAAGCCATCAAACATTGAATAAGAGAAAAAATTGTCGAGTACTGTGCTGGTCTTATTGTTTCTATCTGCTCGGCTAATAAACGCAGTTTATTACAAACAAATGGATAAAATAGATTTATGCGGCTGGTTATGAACTCTATTGATGCTTGGTCGTGATCTTTGTATTGCCAAGAATAGATTACGATTTTAACAATTGAAGTTAAACTTATTTCATCAAAAGAGTTGATATGAGCAATTAAATTGTCGAGAGGTAGATTATCTGTGAGAGAGAATTGTATTTTGTAGCCGAGATATAGTAGAAGTGATAAGCCAGTCTGTAAGAATTTCGAAAATGAAAGAAAGTCAATGTTTTGTCCGTTTTTAATGTGTGAAAAGTTATTAGATATGCATTTTATAACTGCTAGTGTTACTTCTTTGGCGAATCGGTCAAAGTCTTGCTGTGGAAGATCAAAGAAAAAATCGCGGATTTGGTAAAAAACTGATGGATCCTTGGAACCACTAGTAGCCAACATTTCAACGAGTGTACCTATTGTCTCTTCATTAGAAACTAGCACTCGTGGTTCCGTCATAACTATTTTCACTTAACTTTTTTTTTTAGAAGTTTATACCGAACATCAGTTTCCAGCGCCCATTAGTCTTATATTTAGAATATGGTTTATGTAATTGATATTTTGTCCCGATAAACTGGTAATAAATATTCGGTTTTCGAAAATAAACAATAATTGTTTTATGCGTTTTTTAAGGATTTGGATATTTAAATAATAAAAACGTTTTCGATTATGTAAATATTTACTGTCAGTTAATGAATGCCACCCAATATCCAGAAATTTTGATGGAACAATGGAAAATTAGATTAAATGAGGTAAAAAATAACGGTCATAATGTGATAAGTTTATTTAACAAATCTATACGCATCAAAAAATCAATTCTGACAAATGTCTATGAAAAGTTTACATTTAAAAGGCCTAATTTGTTTGACATCATTTTGGCAATCTTTTCGTGGTACACAGAAACAAGCAAAGCCACAAGTCAGATTAATGTACTGGCGTGCAGATCATATGAACGTTCATGAAGATAAGCTGCGTTGAGGAAGAAACTCTTATGTGCTATGTCTCTTGGAATTGTCAATAGTTTTCAGGATATTTTACTATAATTACTTGAGAAATAATCTCTGAAGTGCTTAAATATGCTCAACACATCATATGTTGTATCTCTTTTGCGAACGTATGAAACTGTTTCAAAATTCTCACTAATTTCTCTAACAAACCTGATCAAACCAAATTTGATAGCTTTGAAATTTGTGAGAATTTTCATCGTCTAAAAATTTATTTGAGAAAAATGAGTGATATCAACTCTTTATTATCAGGAGACATGGAAACTGATAATCCAAATCTAGCCCGTCCATGTATGTACCAATTTAGGAAATGGTCATCCATCTTTTTCGGAGCTTTCTCTTATATTTTCGTTTACTTCCATCGTTTCTCAACAGCAGTTCTTGCTGATGAGATGGCGAAAGACTTTAATGTTCCAAAAGACAAAATTGGTATATTAGCTTCAATGTATTTTTGGCCATACGGTTTAATTCAGCCATTCATCGGATCTCTCGCAGATATTGTAGAACCTGGTTATATGATCGGCTGTGCTAATCTTATTTCTGCAATTGGTACTTTAATTTGCTCATTTTCACCAAATCTTACAGTTTGCTGTGTAGGAAGATTATTAGTAGGTTTAGGATGCAGCTCTATCTTTGTTCCAACAAATAAAATCGGCGCGAACTGGTTTTCTTCACGAGAATTTCGATTCTTCTCTGGTTGCATGATCGGAGTTGGCGGTGTTGGCTCTTTACTATCACAATATCCATTATCATTACTCGGACATGCCATTGGTTGGCGCACATGCTTACGTGGCACTGCGATTTTAGGATTTATCCTTTCGATCATTGCTTTTCTACTTGTTAGAGGCCATCCAGCCAAGTTTGGATTCCGTGGTCATACACCCTTAATGCCAACACCTGGCTTTACCACCATCTTTGTACAACTTTTCCAAAACATTGGAAAAATGATTAAAATCGGCAACTTCTGGCTCCTTGCTCTCTACATGTTCTTTGCACCTGGAGTCTTTATGGTCGTTTCCTCCCTTTGGGGCGTTCCATATCTCGAAAATATCATTCATTTATCACATAATTCTGCAAGTTTCCTCCAAATGTCAATTTCTTGCTCTCTTATCATTGGATCTCCAACAATCCCAATCATAGCAGAGTTTACCGGCAGCAGAAAGTGGACGCTTTTCGGTGTTTGCGGAATGGCGGCCGCATGCTGCACTTACTTAGCCCTTTACGGACAAAATTCACCGGTTTGGGCTATAGCTCTCCTTTACTTCCTCAGTGGCTACGGCGCAAGTGCAAACCAAGGCTGTGCACTCGCATTGTTCAAAGAATTTGCAGATGACAGTCTGGCTGCAACACTTGTGGGTGGTGGAAATACTCCTCCATTCATTGGTGGTGCAATTCTCCAGATTCTCAGCTCTGCAATCATCGGAACATTCGACCACACGCAGACAAACTATCCTGTTGAAGCTTATGCACTCGGATTATGGGGGCTTTCAGCTATCTGCTGTTTCCTCGCTATGTTCTTCGTTCTCTTCTTGAGAGAGCCGAAAATTCAAAAGTAATCATGATAGTAATAAATGATATAATGCTTTCCATATAGTTTTTAAGTAAATATAGTTTCTTACTTTAAATTAATTTTGAAACAAAAGTTATCCATACTATTTATCATAAAGAAAAAGTACCTTTAAAAGTCAAACATATCATCTAAATCAAGTATAATAGTAGGTTCATCATCGCGTGCGGTTTTTCAATTATTATCTTTTTCTTCCTTATCAGCTCCAATAGAGATAAGATATTTAACAATTCCATGATGACCATTTTCTGATGCAATAATGAGTGAAGTCTCTCCATCATTATTCTCCGCTTCTTTATCAGCTCCAATAGAGATAAGATATTTAACAATTTCAAGATGACCATTTTCTGATGCAATAATGAGTGAAGTCTCTCCATCATTATTCTCCGCTTCTTTATCAGCTTCAATAGAAATAAGATATTTAACAACTTCAAGATGACCATTTTCTGATGCATAAATGAGTGAAGTCTCTCCATCATTATCCTTCGCTTCTTTATCAGCTCCAATAGAGATAAGATATTTAACAACTTCAAGATGACCATTTTCTGATGCACATATGAGTGAAGTTCTTCCATTATTATCTTTTGCTTCTTTATCAGCTCCAATAGAAATAAGATATTTAACAACTTCAAGATGACCATTTTCTGATGCAATAATGAGTGAAGTCTCTCCATCATTATTCTCCGCTTCTTTATCAGCTCCAATAGAGATAAGATATTTAACAATTTCAAGATGACCATTTTCTGATGCACATATGAGTGAAGTTCTTCCATTATTATTCTCCGCTTCTTTATCAGCTCCAATAGAGATAAGATATTTAACAATTTCAAGATGACCATTTTCTGATGCAATAATGAGTGAAGTCTCTCCATCATTATTCTCCGCTTCTTTATCAGCTTCAATAGAAATAAGATATTTAACAACTTCAAGATGACCATTTTCTGATGCATAAATGAGTGAAGTCTCTCCATCATTATCCTTCGCTTCTTTATCAGCTCCAATAGAGATAAGATATTTAACAACTTCAAGATGACCATTTTCTGATGCATAAATGAGTGAAGTCTCTCCATCATTATTCTCCGCTTCTTTATCAGCTCCAATAGAGATAAGATATTTAACAATTTCAAGATGACCATTTTCTGATGCACATATGAGTGAAGTTCTTCCATTATTATCTTTTGCTTCTTTATCAGCTCCAATAGAAATAAGATATTTAACAACTTCAAGATGACCATTTTCTGATGCAATAATGAGTGAAGTCTCTCCATCATTATTCTCCGCTTCTTTATCAGCTTCAATAGAAATAAGATATTTAACAACTTCAAGATGACCATTTTCTGATGCATAAATGAGTGAAGTCTCTCCATCATTATCCTTCGCTTCTTTATCAGCTCCAATAGAGATAAGATATTTAACAATTTCAAGATGACCATTTTCTGATGCATAAATGAGTGAAGTTCTTCCAAATTTATTCTCCGCTTCCTTATCAACACCAATAGAGATAAGATATTTTACAACTTCAATTTTATTATATGCTGATGCACGAATCAATGGTGTTTCATCATATTTATTTTTTGTTTCTTTATCTGCTCCAATAGATATAAGATATTTTACAACTTCAAGTTGGCCATATTTTGATGACCAAGTGAGAGCTGTTTCGCCATAATTGTTTTTTGATTCTTTATCGACTCCAATAGAAATAAGATATTTAATAATATCAAGATGACCATTTTGCGATGCACAAATGAGTGGTGGATTTCCATTTTTATTATTATTTGCATCTTTGTTACAGCCATTTTCAAGAAGAGATTTAACAACTATGAGATTACCATTTAAAGATGCTACATTTAAAATTGCATTTCCAAATTCATATTTATTTGCGCAGATTATTTCCTTAATTGCATTTGATATCATAGTTTGATTCCCATTTTTTGAAAGTTCATCAAGGATTTTGAAAACACCATCAACGTCATTTGAAATCATGTATTCAGTGATTTTTGATAAATTATTATAACGGCCAAATGTTTGTTTTTGTAATCTTGATCGCATTAAAGATCCATGAAACGATTTAATGATATTGATGTAATTATTTCCATCACTTAAATCAATGAGTTTATTTAAAATATTTTCGCTACATAACTCTAAATGAACGTATTCAATTAATGGATAGAAATCTTCATTTTCTTCTGTGAGGGAAAAAACGAAATTTGCTAATGAATCCTCATTGTAGATACATAACTTTTCATTATTAATTATTCTTTGAAGTATGTCAAATCCCATCTTTTTACATATCGATTTGAGACCATTTTGATCAATCTCGTAGAAATGAGAAGAAATAAAATCAATACATTTTGACAACTTATCATTTACTCCTTCGTCTTCTTCTGATGGAATATATGAATAAAACTCCAGCAATTGAAAACAATTATTTATATCTAGTTCCATTTTATCGATTACATTGGTTTTGTATAAATCAATTAGTTCTTCGATCTCAAGTTCAACCCCAATATGAAAAAGATCCTTCATAATGATATGATTGCATGTAACTTCTTTTTTCTGATATTGAAGTATTTCTCTTAATACATTATATGTATCAGGAGATTCAATATTAACATTGATATCGATTTTTGAAATACTATGATCAGTTACATACTTTGTACAGAATTTTTGTGTAAATGCAATTGCAAAATATTTGTTTAACGATATTTCTTCATTGTTTATTGCTAGTGTTACCTTTTCAGATGCTTGGCATTTATTAATTCTCTGAAGCATTCGATTATTCAACTTCAATGATATCATTTCCAATATAAAAAAATGCAGGTAAATTTAAAAATAAAAAATACATCGAAAAATTCTCTATCCAACCAAAGTGTTGTTGAACTTCTGGGAACAAAATTGGTCTGAAAAATCTGGACTTAGTTCCATGTAACTCAAAAAATGCCAAAAAAAATCACACATGGAGAATATATGTAATTTCACATTTAAATATTTAACAACTACTTACATATAACCAGGCTGATCATAATAAACACATTGGAATTTCGAAAATTACTATTTCTTAAGGCCATGAAAATACTTCTTTATTTTATGAAAAACATAGAATCATATGTTTTGTCAGATAAATTATAATTGATCGGATATGGTTTTGTTCGGAAATTATTAAGATTTTCAGTAAAATGAAATTGATTTTTAAAAAAATAAACTCAGAAGAAATTTGATTGAATTGTATTTTAAAAAAGGTAATTTCTAATAATGTATGTAAGCAAATTTACTTAAGAAGTGTGCCATTGAACTTCTGGACGAACCACTCCTTAGCTTCCTCGCGCTTTACACGCTGGTTTGGACCAATGCGGGACTGGCAGTGCTTACGACGGGAAATACGGTTGCCTGGGCGCTCAAGAACAACATAAAGATCCATACCGTGGATACCGATATCACGATCGTACTTAAGGCCAAGATCAATGTGCTCCTTGATACCGAAGCCGAAGTTGCCTTCAATTGAGAAGCAGCGGCCGGAAATTTCATAATCGTGGACTTGGAGAGCGCGGTTAAGGATTTCGAGGGCCTTTGGACCACGGATTGTAGCGTAGGCAGCGATCTTATCATTACGACGGATGCCGAACTTTGGAATTGTACGATGAGAACGGGCGAGCATAGCCTGCTGCTTTGTAAGCTGTTCAATAACGCGGGAAGCACGTGTAACCTGGTCACCGACAGCACCTGGGTTGATGTTGATGCAAAGCTTTGCAACACGGATCTCGTTGAGCTTGTTAGACATCGAAAGGCCAACCAAAGAAACCGTCAAAACCGAAAATATGCATGAATCAAATATGCTGATTTAAAAATGAATTTATTATTTTTAGAAATAGTATTGTAAAAAAAATTAAACAAAGCTTCTAAAAAATCTTACATCAAATTTAGAATGTGATCTTCTCTTCCCAATCTACAGCAAATTTATCTTCATTGTAGGATTAAATTGAGGCAAACATTAAATTTGTTTGTATTTTACCCAAATAAAAGAACATAGAAAGAATATCATGATATTATGCCATCTGCTATTCATGTTCAATAGAAAAAATATGTATTGAGTGATATGGTAATTATGTTTCTCTCAAAATGTTGTTTTGAGCTATGAACAATGAAAGATTCAATTCTTCATGAGTAAATTTCCTTCATTATTTCTTAAAAAGACATAAACATTAATCTATAACCTTAAACAAACAATTTATAAACCAAAACAAAAAAAATTATGGTATTATATCTTCTTCATTTGTCCATCCTAGACCTTTAGTGTAATCTCCATTCATCCTCTTGTGGAACATTATAGAATAGTTGAAAGATGGGAACAAATTCTTCATGTAAGGATATTTATGGTGTTCCATCGCATAAAATATCTTTTCTGTCATTGCAACAGTCTCAGGAATATGACATGGTCCACGACCATCATGGTGGTTTACATTAATATGTGTAATTCCGCCGGAATACATATGAATTAGTCCGAAAAGAACCAAGTTAGGAAAATCTATCAGATGGCCAAACAATATAACTATTCCTGCGTGTTTATCCATAAACATGCAGTTGTAAAGTAGAGATCCGCCACTTCCAATTACAAATTTACATTCTGCGAATTGTTTTGCGTTGGCTGTAAGAGTATTTTGAAGGAACATCTCTGTGAACTCAATATTCGGGAATTTCTTTGATAAATTGGAAATTAATTCATTAATATTTGTGAAATATCTTCTTTCATTTGGTCTTCTGTTAATAACTCTGTATTTTGTAGGCGTTATAACTGATAAATTCATATATTTTCTGTAGCGTTTATGTAAATTTGGTAATCCAAACGCGAATAATTCATGTGCGCGTTCTTTTGGATGATTATAATAAAGTTTTCCTACCTGATAATATTTCTGGTATTCTAAAACTGGTGTCATATGCCCCAATCCCAAAGCAATCAAGTGTGTTTGCATCAAAGGCTGTTCCCAGTTATGGATAACATAGTAAGTAGAATTGAGAACTGATTCTGGATATGTAACAAGCATAACAAGTAAGTCATGAATTGCGTGTCCATAGGTATTCCAATATTTTCTTGCAATTACAGCATTTGGAAGTTCTCCCATGACAGTAATTTGAAATTTTGGCTTATTTGGTGAATAATCGTATTGTAAAGAAATTCCTTTTTCTGTAACAACTCCATTTGAATTAGCGTAACAATTTTCAAAAGTAAATGACTTTCCTCTTGCTCTAAATATATTTTCCATTGGTACTGGAACTGCTTCCCTTTTTTCTGGTCTGTCAGTCCAATAATACGAATCTGTCATGTTTACCCATTCTTCGTTCTTCCAAAGAAACTCTGTGAAATTTTCATCGTTTATAGACTCTATCCATTCTGATTCTACGTTGACTTTCCTTTCCACAGATATTTTTGAATTAATTAATTGGTAAACCGGAATACAAAATTGACCAATCATTGTTAGGTATGTTAGTAGTATAACCGATGGTAGTAGTCTGCTGTAAACTCGAAAGGCGCGTGAATTTGAAGCAACCTTTCGATACATTTTGACACTTTTCGAATTTCATTTTTTCTTTGATTTTCCTCTCCTTACAATGATATTGAAAGAGCATTGAAGAACTAAATATTTAAGTTATAATGCTGAAGTGTTAGCAAATCATGATAAAACCTAGATGTCTAAAGTTAGATTAATAAAATCTTTTTTATTTCGTTATTGAGTTTAAATTTTTTTTAATATTTTAAACTTTGGCTGCATCATCCTTTGATGCACCTTCATGTACTTGGTCATCATCAAAGTTAATACCTATCCTTTTCTATCTATTTATATCCATTATTCAATATATAAACAAGTAGATATTGAAGCATTAAATGATCCAGAAAATTATATGGCAATATATATGTTCAACTGCATTACTAAAGTTCTCTATGGATGAACATTAATTGTTGAAACAAGTTTAGCTTCGATGATGGTTTGAGTTGATACACTTCTTTTTCTTGTCAAGATCTTTTAAACTTTACATATCATTTTTGACGCTTTACATCTAACCCAGAGTTCGAAAATTATTTGGTCGAGTCCCCAAATGTTCCCCAAGCGACATCCTTATGTCATGCTGCTCAAAACATTACAATATAAATCTAAGGTCATAAATATTCCTTTTAAAAATTATGAATTTTTATCTATTTTTTTTCTTTTTTGAAAACAACAAAAAATAATAAGAATCTTTATTAGAATTTGATCAAAGCATCAGAAGGTCCTGACTTAATCTCGCAACCGCTTATCTGTGACAACTTCCTTATCAAGTGGTCGTCGTCGAAGTATCTCCTGTGTCTTCTCACGACTTCTCCAATGAGTTTTGCGTAAGGACCAAGAGATTCAGACTTAACGATTGTGAAAATGTTCTTCAGAACTTTGAGAGATCTTGGATTTGCATTACTTTGAAGAGCAACTAAATTGATCAAATCCAAGTCAACGACAATATCGCTGTGTAACTCTGAGAAGATGAACTTCTCAAGAACCATGCAAGACACGAATGGATGAGCTTTAATTGTCTTTGCACAAATTTCAAGCGGCTCTTTCATGAGACTGACTTTTGCCCTGAAATTCTTGTGTAAAAGGAGGCTGTGGTACACATAAAGTAAATAGAGGCTGACTGTGTCCGGGAGATTGAATGGGAGGCAGTTTCTGATGACATGTTCTGCGATATCCTCGTATTCGCATAAATCAGCGCATAATGCAATCGCATCTACATTTGTGCTGTGACTTAGCTTCGAAATGAGAGCGACTTGTCTGAAAGCCTTTGCATGCAAGTCAATTCCTCTAAGACATTCAACAGTTGCTGATACAACTGAAGGATTATCTGATGAAAGAAGAGAAACAATGAATGTGTAACCTCTCCTTGCGAGGAATTGCTCGAAATCAACAATGGCTGGGAGATGGCGAATGAATCCTGCTTGAATATCAGCTGTAAGTGAAGGGAATAAAGTCATGATAACTGGCATAAGCTCGGAATCGTGATCTGTCGATTCCCTGGTGACTTCTCTGAGGTATTCAAGCATCTGAGTCACGTTGTTTGCATCGTAAGCGTTGACCAAACTTTGAGATAATCTGTCCTTTGGAGCCATCTTAGAGAATTCCTCTTCATCTGTTCCTATGAAGTGGAACTCTGGCTGTGCAAGTGCTTGAGAAACTTGAGCAAACGTTGGTCGATCTGATGGAACTTCTGCCCAGCAGCGCTGAATCAATTCTACGACACGTGGCGGTCCGCAGCCAACAACTGATGGTCTGAGGCCGTCTTCGATGATGGCCATGACCATTTGATCTTGTGACATTCCGGCATAAGGCTCTTTGAGAGTCAGCATCTCCCAAAGCATGACACCGAACGAGTAAACATCGACTTTTTCATCGTAGAATGGTGATGATCGAAGGATTTCTGGGGCCATCCACTGGGCTGTCCCAACAAATCCGGTTCTTGTAGCACCTGTCTTGAATCCAACGAGGCCAAAGTCACATACGCGTGGCATATCCTCGTCATCGAGTAAGATATTCGCTGATTTGAGGTCTCTGTGGATAATTCTTGCTGCATGGAGGTTTTCCATGGCCTGAGAGACTTTTAGAGCAATCAGAGAACGCTTTGTAGCTGAGAGTAGTTTAAGGCGATCGAATAATGAGCATTTGAGAAGTTCTGTGATGATACAAAATGGAGGAGTAAGAGTTACACCGATTAAACGAAGAATATTAGGATGGTTGAGTGTAGCCATTGTCCAAACTTCACGTTTGAATGTTTCTAGTTGTCTTCCACCCAAAACTTTTGTATTCAAAACTTTAATTGCGACTTTCTTGAATGTTCCTGTGAGTTGACCTATGTGGACAGATCCAAATGTTCCTGAGCCAATGACTTGACCAATTTCAAATTGATCATGAGTCATAACCAAATTTAATTTGGAAGGCAAGAAAGGAGGCACGCAGACCAATGGAGGACCATCTTGGAGACCCTCGATTGGTCCAATTGATCTAAGACGGTCTGTAATAAGAGACATAACTTGTTGAATTTGTGGAGTTTGTGGTTGGTTTTCTAAGTGATTGTGGTATTCCATCAGCGATCCCTTCAACTGTAGAAGGTCAACTTTATTTTCAGCTGCGTATTGATCGTCTGGAAGTACAAACGGAGTTGGTGGAGTAATATTAAATGCAGCCAACACTTCTGCAACGTCTTCTCTGATTCTTTTGATGGAGTCTCTCATTGTACCTGACGACCACGATATCGCAGGTTGGCTCCAATGAGTAGCTGAACAATAATATACAACTTGGCGCGCTTTGTTCATAGCATCGATGAAATTTCTGCACATTGCGCTTAGATCTGTGCCCTCAGTTGGATTTGGCTTAAAATCTTTCATGAGTGCTCTCAAATCATCGAACAGTGAGAATAATTTTGATCTATGAACAGTAATTGTAGGTTGTAATTTTAATAATTCTGATACAGTAGTACGAAGCTCTGCAACCCAAGGAAGCTCTGGCTCAGTTTCGTGAGCTGGCTCATCAGGTTCTACATTAAAAACAATCAAATCATCCTTGCCCATAAAATTTTCCCTATCGTCTTTTTTACTAAATTTTATTTGAGTTCGATGAGAGTTTTCTGGAAATTGGTTTTTCATAAAACTCGTTATAGAGAAATAACTTTTGTCATTGAGTTTTGCTATCGCTAAATAAGCTGTTTATTTTAACTTTCAGAATTGAGAAAAAAAATTATTTCTTGTTGTCTATTTTATATACGATGGGAATGTGATCGATTGAAGTAGACTACGAGCAGGTGTTATGACTTCATCTAAGATTATAAAAAAGAAACACACTCAAAAAATCTTTGCTCAATTGTCAAATCTTTCACTTCACAGTTGATGAAAGTTGTGTAAAATGATAAGTACTGTTGTAAACAGAAATTCATCAAAAGTGACACCCCAGAAAAGCTAAAATATTGAATTTTTGGAACTTTTGATAGAGCACGTTTTTAAATATTAATTAAAGTAAATGTATATTTTGTAAAGATTCTTTTTAATAAAAAAGTAAAATTTTGAAGAAGAACACAAAATCTTCTGAAAAATAATATCACATAAACTCATATTATTTTCTAATATATAACTATTTTATATAAAAATCAAATTCAATGATCTTAAAAGCGAAGGATAAACCTCAAAATTTACGAATATAATGAGTGGGAATATAATGCTTATCTATCATAAAACCATATGAAATATCAATTTTTGCTTTATGCCTAATTTTTGACGACAATTAGCAAAAAATGTTAAATGTTAACACTCAGTCCATTTGAATATGAAAAATAAAATTGACTTTGATTAAATGTTTTTATTTATCATGCAATTCTTCTTGCGACCAAAGATTTGAATAAAAGTTCAAAAAATAAGATAGCTTAAAAAATAATATACGGTAGTGTTTACTAATAGATGAATAGTATATAAATTCTATTAAAATGGATTTGATCCAAAAAAATATATAAAATTTGATCATAAATAAAATCGTTTTAAATTACTTCTTCATTTAAATTATAACAATTATTTTTGGTTTTATATTTTTTTGGATCAAATCCATTTTAATAGAATTTATATACTATTCATCTATTAGTAAACACTACCGTATATTATTTTTTAAGCTATCTTATTTTTTGAACTTTTATTTATCTTAGAATCAATGATCGATTTCACCTCAATAAGGATAATACTATCCAATTTATGTGCAGAAATACAATAACATGTCATTTAAATATCATATTGCAAAAATAATTTAAAATTTATCTAAATAACTAACAGTTTTATTATTAAGGAAAACAAAAACAAGTTACAATAGTAAATGTATGAATGTCCCAAGATCTACGCATTCTAATTCAGTAAATCTTTGATGAAATATTCAGAACCTGCTGCATAAAAAGCATAATGAGATAAAATGAAATCTACTTCGTGTGGATCATCAAAGTATTCTAACCTTGAAATCCTCTTCCTTTCTTCTATTGGAATTTTATGTTTTACAACAAAAACCGCATTTTGAGCATCAGCACATTCAAATCCTATATCAAGTGCTTTAGTTATGAATTCTTCTGTGCTTTGTGCGAAGTCAGCACCGTACAATGGAATTCCCATATCATTAAATCCTTCTTTAATTAAATCACCAAAATCGTCACCAAGATTTGTCATTCCATAAGATATAAATGCACCTTTTCCGGCGAAAAACTTCAATAATCGTTGAATAACTTGGGGTTGAAGATAAATTAAACTAAATTCATCAATAAATAGAGTTGGAAGATCAGGAATTAGCAGAGTGTTCAAGACATTTGTGCTTTCTTCTAGATTTAAGTCAAGATCACATAAAATATAATTATCTAATGGTTGAAAAACTTGATTTTCAAGATATTTCTGTTTTTTGGCTACAACAAACTGTTTATCAACTTCTATGAACTTTGAAAATTGAATATTTTCATCTCTAAGTCTCCAATATAATGTATCAAAACCTGATCCAAGAGAAACAACTTGTGATTTTGGGCCAAATTTGTCGAAAAATGACTTAACAACATATCTTATCATATAACTTCTAATAAATGTTCCGAAATTTTGATGAGGAAGCTGAGATCCGTACAAAATATCTCCTGCGAAGTATTTCATGTATTTATCACTGTAGTATCCTTTAGAAATTGCTGACATCTTAAATGCAATCACTTCTGATGCAGTGTCTTCAACAGTGGCATTTTCTCCCTCAACATTAATCATTTTGCTTTCGAAAAAAAGTGAATGTTTTACAAGCCATCTGAAGAAGACATTGAAGACTCCATTAAAGAAAGCAAATATCAAAGGTACATGGATGTTAATGATGCTGAAATGCTAGAAAAACTCTTTAATATCAAATTCATTAATTTTATAGAAAGCTGTGAAGCCATTAATAACCAATTTACTCAGCAGTCAACACTTGATATCAACAATATTGATTGTTTATCTCACTTTTTCATTGAAATTCATGACGCCATTATAGAAAATCAATTTACATTAAAGACATTCACTAAAGTACTACTCGACAATGAGATAGATAAAGCAATTTACTATATTTTATCAACATCAGCCAATGTTTCAGAAATAGAAAGCGCTGTTTTCTTTTTAGCAGTTATTACAGCATATTCATTAGACAGTTTTGGCCAATTTATACCTCAGAATCGATACTTTCCTCTGATATTTAACATTTTTTGCAATACAAATATAGTTACTCAAGGAAACTTTAATCAGAACATTACTGCGTGTTTACTTAACTTAGTTAAAGATGAAGAAAGATATAATGATTCATTTGGTCCTTTCAATGATGATTTTGAATCTTCATTCGAAAATTTTAACAAAATGATTGAATTTAGATGTGCAGAAGGAGGTCCTTCATATTTATTTAGAATATTTATACCAATATATAACAAATTCTTCCAAAATTTTACTATAGAACACATTCAAATTTTATATAATGTTTATTTAGAAGATAGACTAGTATTTACATACTCAGCACGATTGGCAATCAAAATAATTCAAAATAATAAGACAGAACCCCAAATTTTAACAATTTTATTTGATTATTTTTCAGATTTTTGGAATCAACTTCCCAGATACGATGAAGAAGCATGGGATTGTGGTTTAGAACTTTATTCACAACTACTTACCTATCTTCCTAATGAACTTAAGCTTTCTTTGTTAAATAATGTAACAATTTTTCCTTATCTCATTGAAAAAGGCATCAGAAACAAGTATTTAGCATCAAATATACTTGATTTCATGACGAATTTGATTAATATGTTCATTCCTTCCGGTGGAAATAATCCAAATTCACAAGAAATTTGGGCATTTCAGTTTATTTTGACAGCTTTGCAAGGATCAACTGATAGAATAATATCTCCTATTAATGATATGTTCGAGCACCTTTCTGCTGAAGGAAAACTTTCTGCTTTAAACTTTTTCAATGTATTTTCATCAAAAAGTCACGAAGCAGCACAAAACATTGTTAGAATTATTGATATAGACATTCTTACTGAGTTTTTGGATTCAGGATCCAATAAAGAAATCTCCGTTTCATTGGATTTGATTCTCAGACTGTTATTCACTGCCAGACAGATTGGAGAGAGAGCTGCTGTTGATTTTGTTGAATATTTGGAAATGCATGATATACATGAATATATGAGAGATCTCCAAGAAAATGATGACGAAAGGATTCAATACATGGCTCAGAGAGTTATTGATACTGTGTATGACATTGTTGGAGAGGAAGAAGATGATGAACAATAAATATTGTAAAAAAAATAAAGTTTTGTTATTTATGTATATAAAAAAAGATTATTTACAAAAGAGTTCTATTAGCTTAGTCGACTTCCTCAACACGTGGGCCAGAGCCTGATGGGCGAGCACCAGCAGATGGGCCAGCGCCTGGGGCAGCACCACCAGCGCCACCCATGTTCTGGAACATAGATGGGTCAACACCACCTGGCATTCCGCCGGCACCACCAGCAGCGGACTGGTAGGCCTTCTGCATGAGTGGCATCAACTGGCCTTCGACATCCTTCTGCTTGGCTTCGTAGTCAGCTGTGGAAGCGTCCTGGTTGGAATCGATCCAAGCGAGTGTGTCGTTGACAACCTTGAGGATGGCATCCTTGTCAGCAGCATCGATCTTAGAGCCGAGTTCGCCGTTGACAGAGTTACGAACACCGAAGCAGTAACCTTCGAGACCGTTCTTAGCTTCAATCTTCTTCTTGGCTTCTTCATCCTGAGCCTTGTACTTCTCAGCATCAGAAACCATGCGGTCGATATCTGCCTGGGAAAGACGGCCCTTGTCGTTCTTGATTGTGATCTTCTTGACATTACCTGTGGACTTATCCTGAGCAGAAACGTTCATGATACCATCAGCGTTGACATCGAATGTGACTTCGATCTGTGGAACACCACGTGGTGCTGGTGGAATGCCTGTGAGATCGAATGTACCGAGAAGGTTGTTATCGTGTGTTCTTGTACGCTCACCTTCGTAAACCTTAATTGTAACTGCTGGCTGGTTATCAGCGAATGTTGTGAAGATGTTTGACTTCTTGGCTGGAATTGTTGTGTTACGTGGGATCAAAACTGTCATGATTTCACCAGCTGTCTCAATACCAAGGGAAAGTGGAGCGACATCGAGAAGTAAGATATCCTTGACTGCCTCGGAGTTATCGCCCTTGATGATGGCGGCCTGGACTGCAGCACCGTAAGCGACGGCCTCATCTGGATCGACACCACGGCATGGCTGCTTGCCGTTGAAGAACTCCTGGAGAAGCTGCTGGACACGTGGAATACGTGATGAACCACCGACAAGAACGATATCTGTGACATCGGACTTGGACATCTTGGCATCCTTGAGAACCTGGGCAACTGGGCCAAGTGTGGATCTGAAGAGCTCATCGTTCAAGTTCTCGAACATAGCACGAGAAATTGTATCCTGGAAATCGTGGCCCTGGTAGAGAGACTCACAAAGGATGGAAGCGTTAGCAGCTGTAGAGATTGTACGCTTAGCACGCTCGCAAGCTGTTCTGAGTGTTCTCAAAGCACGTGGTGATTCGCGGAGATCGCACTTGAACTTCTTCTGGAAACGATCTGCGAAGTAATCGACAAGGCGTGAATCGAAGTCTTCACCACCAAGGTGTGTATCACCAGCTGTAGCACGAACTTCGAACATGCCACCATCGATATCAAGAAGGGAAACATCGAATGTGCCACCACCGAGATCGAAGATGAGAACGTGGCGTTCCTTGTCGGACTTCTCGTTGAGACCGAAAGCGATAGCAGCGGCTGTTGGCTCGTTGATGATACGGAGAACGTTGAGGCCAGCGATGACACCAGCATCCTTTGTAGCCTGACGTTGGCCATCGTTGAAGTAAGCTGGAACTGTAACGACAGCATCTGTAATCTTTTCGGAAAGCATGTTCTCAGCTGTTTCTTTCATCTTGCCGAGGACCATGGCTGAGATTTCTTCTGGGAAGAATTGCTTTGTTTCGCCCTTGAACTGGACTTCAATCTTTGGACGATCGCCATCACCGCGGACGACCTTGAATGGCCAGTGCTTCATATCCTTCTGGACAACTGGATCAGAGAACTTACGGCCAATCATACGCTTAGCATCGAAGACTGTGTTCTGTGGGTTCATAGCGGCTTGGTTCTTAGCTGCATCACCGACGAGTCTTTCATCTTCTGTGAAAGCAACATAAGATGGGGTTGTTCTGTTACCCATATCATTGGCGAGAATGTCAACACGGTTATGACGGAAGACACCTACGCATGAGTATGTTGTACCAAGATCAATACCAATAGCAGACATTATTAAAAATGATTGGAAATGTTCGGATGAAGGCTCCTCTCAATTTTTTGCCAAAATAAGTGGTCGCTTAAAAAAATTAGTGATGTGAATAAATTTACATGATTTGTTGAGAAATGTATTAGTCTCGATTTAATTATGCTATTTCCGCATTTAAATTGACTTGTGGAAAAATTTTGATCGGCCAAAAAATAATTGGGCGGCTACTTTAGCCCTCAAAATTTCGGAGTATTTTGTAAACGGTGTGGGCCCGTGATCAGTACAGGTCAGATTAAAATCGTTCGAAGAACAAGTTCCTTTAGAAGTGATTACTATGATTTTTCCCTAATTTCAACTTAACGATTCGATATCCGACATTGAAAAAAATCGAAACTTGAATTAGAGCTTTATGCTTCACAATTATGTTTGCACATTTTTGTACATTAATAAAATGCTATCAGTTACGAAAAAGGATGATTTTTTGTTCCATTTAAAATTTAATTTGTCTTAAAAAACTAAATGTATAATTGAAATATTTTTAAAATCAAGAAAGAGAATAAATTTAACGATTGAAAAGAGAGATACTTAAAAAAATTTCAATAAAAATTTTTAAATAGGAAATATATAAATGTTTTAATAATAAAAATCAATAATATTTTTAAAATAAAATGTATCTGCTTTTTTAGATTTCCCAAACTCTTCCTTATTTTTTCCAAAAATATTTTAAAAATGAAAATTTCAAAAAAATTTTAGCATCACTTAGATTGAAAAAATAGATTTTGAATCTTTTTTTGGAAAAAATACAGGAATTTATTTTCCAAAAAATAGATTATCTTTAGAAAGGAAACAAAAGAATGGTCAATTACTTCGATATCGAATTTTTTATCTTTAATTTTCGTAACAAAGTGATTTAATAGAACAATATCCTCCTTGTAATTAAAGATCGTCATCATAGATCATTCAAATTTATGTTTAATCAATGCAAATAGAAAAAAATAATAAATATCTTTATCAACAACTTATTTGTACTTTATTTATTACATTTATTCTGTTAAAGGAAGTTCCTTGATTTCAACAATTTCCTTTTCACCGAATTCTTCTTGGAGGCATCCAAGAATACCAGCATTTAATGTATTTTTACGGGATGGGCAGCCAGAGCAGTGTCCTGTAAGTTGAACTGAGACAATGCCATCAGTGATATCCTTCAAAACGATATCGCCACCATCCATCTGAAGGACTGGGCGAACACGTTCATCAATAACAGCGTTAACTTTGTCGAAGAATTCCTTTGTTGCTTTTGCGAAGAAGTTTGCAAAGACTGGAGAGTTGGTTGAGTGGGAGATGACTGATAACATTTGTCACTTTTATAATAGTTTGCAGAAATTTTCAATTTTTGTCACTTTTATTTTCCCAAATTCATAATTGTCTGTATCAAAATCAACAAAGTACAGCCTTGCAACTATAATGAATCATGAGATTTTGATTTATCCTTAGAATTTTTTTGGGAAAAAATTTCTTGAAACAATTCATATGATTCATATATGACATCCTTTTGCATAGCAATTTAAATCACCATGATTGATCTATTGGAAAGCGATTGAACCATCATTAACATATATTTCATCAAAATTGTATTATTCATAGCTTTAAGTTAAATGAAGGAGAAAGAGAAGAATTGTTGCATCAATAAATATACCAGAAGGTCAGATTTTACATAATAATGCAATCAACGACAAAATACCCGCAACAATCAATGTATTAAGGTAACAATTAATCGTAATAGAGAGGCTGAAGAAAAATATGAAATCTTTTGATGATCAAAAGTTTGAAAAAGATTTGGTTGGATCAGAAAATTTTTTTGTTCTCTTCGAAAACCTCACTGTTCTCAATAAAAGAAAACGAATACATTCTAAAAACATATCGATAAAAAGTGGATATGCAAATTTGACCACTGTTGCCGGGGCTGACACTTTTACTACTAGTAATGACAGAGGCGAGAACTCCTGATGCTCGTGTCATTATTTTAGGAAACACACAAGTTGGAAAGACTGCACTACTTAGTCGTTTTATTGATAAGACTTATACACCTACAACAACTTCAACAGTGACACCAGTTTTATCGCCTACTGTTGTTCAAACCAATAATGGTGAATCAGTACATATGCAATTTTGGGATACTGCTGGGCAAGAAAGATATCAGTCGATAGGTCAAGTTTTCTATAGAAGTGCAAATTTTGCAATTATGTGTTACGATTGCTCTGATGAAAATCCACTTCCAGCACTTCAAAAGTGGAAGCAAAATATACTTAATGTAGAACCTGATTGCCAATTATATTTAGCAGGTACAAAATACGATCTTATTGATCCATCTAAACAGTTAGAAATTATAGAGAGCGGCGAGAGGCTTAAAGGAACCCTAGGGTGCTTAGGTTTCTTTGCTACATCAGCAGTTACAGGCGATGGCGTTGATATTCTATTTTCCTCTATAGCTGATAATTGGTATAATCAAATCAAATCTAAATCAGCAAAGACACCTCAGAATGCCATGAACCAGAAAACTAAGGATAATAATGGCGGTTGCTGCAAATAATAATTTTTATTATTTATTTACAGAATTGCCTTTCATTCTTGTAATAAATTCAACTTCTGTTCACAGTAGCGTTTTTAATATTTCTAAGTCATATTTAAAATTACAAAATTCGGATTAATTTCCCGAATTTTAATATAAGAAGATGGATTTACTACTAAATTCACATAGTGTTCACACTTTATACCGCTTATTTTCTAGTTTACAGAATATTACTTTCATATAACAAAAATCTTTCTAAAATGTCCTTGATTCGAATATGAAATATTCTAATAATAGCTTTTTCTCAACGAAATAGTTCTATTTTTAAACCATATGAAGCTAATAGTATTGCTGATAAAGAGACTTTGTTGATTGAACATTTTACAAAAAAGTGACAAAAATGTCTATGGAACAAATTTTAGAGAATAAAAACAAAGGTAATGAATTTTATAAACAAAAACAGTACGAAGAAGCACGAGATACATACACCGAAGCAATTGTTGATGCTGAACAGGAGAATTCTGGCTGCGATAATGTGACCAAATCCATTTTATATGGAAATCGCGCTGCATGCTTTGTAGCATTAGAGTTACCCGAATTGTGTATTTCTGATTGCAATAAATCGCTTGAATACCAACCAAATTATACAAAAGTTAGACTGCGGAAGTTTTGGGCTTTAAGAAAGGTTCAAAAGTACAATGAAGCCCTAGAAGAAATCAAAAAGGCAATTGAAGAAGATCCATCAGTCGAAACAACTCATGCAAAAGAATACGAAGAATGCAAGAAAGAAGCCGCAGAAGAAACAGAAAAACTTAAAACCGAAGCTATAGGTCAACTCAAGGATCTCGGAAACAAGTTTTTAGGTTTGTTTGGTCTCAGCACTGATAACTTCAAATTACAGCAAAACGAGAATGGAGGATATAATGTCCAATTCCAAAAGTAATTTGTACTCATCTTTCTTTATAAAAATTGTTTGTTACAATTATTATTTTAGTTTTTTTTTTCTATTTTATATAGAATCACCTCCTTCTTTTCGACTTTATCAACAATTTTACGAAACTTCAATGCTTTTTATCATAGATTCTCGATAAATATGAATTCAATGAATGATATCAAAAGTGAGAATCCAACAGAATACTACGATGAAATAGACAGGTTTTTTCGAGCTCTATATTAAGAGTCAGGAATTTATTATCAAGGTCAGAATCATTTCCAATCGAATCTCAATATATTGAGCTATTTAAGGGTTTCGTTTTGCGAAAAAAACGTACAATACGCAATTTCGCTAAAAAAACATTTAGCTAGCAAGGCAAACCCAAATTTTAGCTAAAAGTGACAGGGAAAAAAAACGTTTAGTATTAAAAAAAAGACCGATGAGAGCTTCGTTCGAAATATAGAGGGAACTGAGAATGCGCAACCATTCTCAGGGAATATTGGATGCTATTCCCGTTCCCTCTGTATGGAAAATTGAGGTTTTCAAAGGGAGTTAAAATAATATCAAATTTATACTAATTTACTTCAAAATACAAAAGTATTTGACAGCTAAAATTAGTTACTTTAGCAAGCCTATCAATACCCTTTTACGATTATTGTTACTTTTTCGAAATAAAAGTAAAAACAAATTTATACTAATTTACTTCAAAATACAAAAGTATTTGACAGCTAAAATTAGTTACTTTAGCAAGCCTATCAATACCCTTTTACGATTATTGTTACTTTTTCGAAATAAAAGTAAAAACAAATTTATACTAATTTACTTCAAAATACAAAAGTATTTGACAGCTAAAATTAGTTACTTTAGCAAGCCTATCAATACCCTTTTACGATTATTGCTACTTTTTCGAAATAAAATAAATTTATTATCAAAAACCTTTTTTTTCTTAGTAAAAATAAAAATGTTATTTTATATCAAGTTTTTATTCATAAATTTTTATAATGTTGTATAAATTTCATTAAAATTTACGTAGTAGTATATGTAGACGGGTTGTGTGACTTTTTTAAAAAAAAAAAAAAAAAAAAAAAAAAAAGGTAGTGGGGCTTCCAGGCACTTCGTGCCTTCTAGCCCTGAAGATGTTTAGTATAAATGAAGTCTTAGAGGACAAACATGACTATGAGTTTTGATATGACAAGATAGAATATGAGAGAGGTCCTATAAACCGGAGAAAGTGTTATATAAACATCTGTCATATTACTCAGAATATTATACAGAATTCAATAAAATATATTTTAGGTGAGAGGTGAGATTTTCACCTGTTTTTTCACCTCATTTTTCACCTCTTGAATTTTCATGAATTTCATCGTAAAGACTTTGTCAAGATTTCATCGTAAAGACTTTGTCAAGATTTCATCGTAAAGACTTTGTCAAGATTTCATCGTAAAGACTTTGTCAAAACTTCATCGTAAAGACTTTGTCAAGATTTCATCGTAAAGACTTTGTCAAAACTTCATCGTAAAGACTTTGTCAAAACTTCATCGTAAAGACTTTGTCAAGATTTCTTCGTAATGAGCGTAAATCAGACAAAAATATATTTAGGGTAGAAGGGTATATCTACCCCGTTTTCTACCCTCTTTTCTACCCCATATGTACTTACTGAAAAGTATGTGTTCCATCTGTCATTTTACTCAGAATTTTACACCAAAAATAATGTTTAGGTGAAGAGGTGAGATTTCACCTGTTTTTTCACCTAATTTTTCACCCTCTTGAATTTTCATGAAATTTACACCAAAAATATATTTTAGGGTAGAAGGGTATATCTACCCCGTTTTCTACCCTCTTTCTACCCTCTTGAATTTTCATGAAATTTACACCAAATATACTACTAGGGTCATTTACGAAGAAATCTCAACAAAATATTTACGAAGAAGTCTTAACAAAGTCTTTACGAAGAAGTCTCAACAAAGTCTTTACGAAGAAGTCTTAACAAAGTCTTTACGAAGAAGTCTCAACAAAGTCTTTACGAAGAAGTCTTAACAAAGTCTTTACGAAGAAATTCATGAAAATTCAAGAGGGTAGAAAAGAGGGTAGAAAACGGGGTAGATATACCCTTCTACCCTAAAATATATTTTTGGGTCATTTACACTCATTTACGAAGAAATCTCAACAAAGTCTTTACGAAGAAGTCACAATAAAACATCTGTCAAAAGCCGCTTTTTAACTTCACTTTTCAGGTAAAAACATTTTTATTGTATATAAAATGAATTTTACAAAACCACCGTTACCCTTCTTTGGAAATAAGAGTAGATGTAAAGATATTCTATTGAGAGAACTTAAGAAACTACCGAATGGTCTAACATTTGTAGATTTGTTCGGTGGAAGTTTCTATATATCCCATTTGTGCCATACAATATTTCCTGACTCAAAGATTATATGCAATGACTTCGACAACTATATGGACCGTCTCAAACATATACCAGACACAAACAATATATTGAAAGAGTTAAAAGAAAAGATACCTATAGGTAAGATGGAACGTATACCATTAGATAAGAAAGATATTGTCAGAGAGGTTTTGAAAAAAGCAGAGTATATTGACTGGGATAGTATATCTGCTAGACTATTATATAGTGGTTCTATAAGAGTTCATGACATTGAAACACTTATGTCAAAAGTTTTATATCTTAACTATACAAATGTTTTCAAAGAGAACATAGAAAAATATATTGAGGGTATAGAGTTTGTGAGATGTCATTGGACAGAGTTGTATGAAAAATATAAAGACAAGGAAAATGTTTTCTTTATAGTGGACCCGCCGTTCTATAACACATGGGATTTTCAATACCAAGTAGACTGGACTTTGAGAGACTCTTTAGAAACTTTAGACGTTTTACATAACCATCCATGCTTTTACTTTACATCCGATAAAAGTGGTTTGGAAACCGTTATGAGATGGTTAGAGGACATACATGACTATGAGTTTAGATACGATAAGATAGAATATGAGAGAGGTCCTATAAACCGGAAAAAGTGTCATAACAAAGAAATTTTACTAGTAAGTAAATGTGGTTTGAAATAGGACTACTTGTTTTAGGTTTTTTCCATTGTGTCATTTACTTATTTGACGTGGCAGAAAGATATAGAGAATATGAAGATGAACCAATGCCTGCAAATGTCCAGTATATGTACTCGTAAGAGATATTTTTATCTAATATTAAATGGACGCACAGAACTTAGCGAATGCACAGCAACCTGGACAACCAAACCCAGAGAATATTCCAAATGAAGTTAGAATACAAACTGCAATGGCAAACTATGGTCAAGTGCCAACAGATGTACAAATGCAAACTGCCATGTCAAATGACGCTGCGTTAGGCTTGCCACCATGGTATGCAAATATGAGATGGAAAGAGTTTTATACAAACCCTGAAGTGGGATATAAACAACTCTATGCAGATGACGCGAACACAGGAGTTGACCCAGAGTATGTTTTCTACCAGAGGAGAAACAGAATGTATGAGCTCCAGTTAAAGAATGCTATGGAACTCAACAGGAAACGTAAGAGACTAGGCGGACATTAGATTTTTACATATAGTAAAATGGGTTTCTTCAGTAGTATTGGAAACTTCTTTCGAAATGTTGGAAGAGGTATATGGAATGGAATAAAAACCGTAGGAAGAGGAATTTGGAACGGAGTCAAAAATATTGGCAAAAGAGTAGGTCAGTTCGTTGGTATTATACCTAAAGACCCTGAACCAGAAGAACAAGCTCCTGTTATACAACAGCCTGAACCTGCACCACAGTCTAGTTGGCAACCAAATCCAACACCTCAACCGTATTAAAAAATTATATTTTTACCGTTCGATAGTAGTTGTATATGAAACTAAGTTCTAAGTAAAACGCATGGTATAATGGAATTATTCTTTTTCTTCCATCTGTAGTAAACCATACTTGAAAGTCTGAAATACTTCCACTTGGTGGTTCGTATAACTTTGTAGGTTTTTCGTAAAAGTCATTTGCCAAGCATAAGAAAGAGTTTTGGGCGCCAGAAAATGAAGCATGAACAATAATAGCAGCTGGGTCGAAAACATTTTCATATGTTCCATTAGGGTTTTCGACTTCATAAAAGTCCGGGTGTACTGGATATTCTGCAGGCTGATTTAACATCCTCAAAAATCTATACCATGCCAAGTTGTTATATTTTGTAGAAATATAAACGTCTTCTCCAAGGTCTTCTATTCTATTGATTTTAACAGTTGCATTTTTCCTGTCATATATAATATCGAGATGGTACTCTCCTTCGTCAATGTTAAACTGGTTTGCATATTCGAGATAGATATCGTTTATTTTTTCTTGAAAAGCTTGAAGAGTTGTTTCTAAGTTTACAAGCAAATTCACTTGTAAAAGTTTTCCCTGTTCAAATTTCTCATACGTATGTTTTTCTTTGTTATAGTATCGAACTTCAAAACCGACCGTAAATGGGAAACCATGTATGGCTTCTGAAATGAACTTCATTCTACGAAAGCCAATAGCTTTTGTGACAGATGGGTCTCTTAGCCATCTTAATGGGTAGTCAAAACGATAGCCTTCATGCTTTACGGTCTCTGTCTCAAACTTTTGACCGACGTTAGTAAAAAGTTCATCTAATGGTTTAGTTGTAGCAACTCTTGAATTTTCTTTTTCTATTGAAAGCATATTTTATCTAGAATAAAAATGTCGAAAGAAACAGCGTCTATGAGAGAAATACAACACAACCGACAACTCATTATGCAAGCTCTAAATAAGAACACAACAAACTTTTCAAACTATTCTAAGATATCTGAGTCATTGAAAGAAGGAAACTTAAAACTGACATTAAACCCATTGACAGACGAGTTTCTATTTCAAGACAGTAAGAACCATACTGTTTGTATAAATCCAACAAAAGGAACTTTAAACGAGAAACCTATAGATGAACTTCTTTTGAAAGCAGATGTTGACAACAAAGCTGACAAAGAGTATGTAGACGA